ATCGCTAGAGTTCGCCAACCTGCTCAGAGTCATCAAGCATTTATAATTGTGGATTTACATTACTGGACCTAATCAGAACACGCAACGTTTGGGCAGTTTAAGTAACGTCCTTAATTATTATTGTATTTGTAACAATTAATTGTATATATTAATATTACTATTGATTTTTAATAACTTTGTTTATACGTTTCGCGTTCATATCTGTTTGATCCACCACAAGGGTATATCGGTACTGATTTCGAAATGACCCAGACTTCCGACAACTATAGATGAAGTCACAGATGCTACCAATCTATTGCAGAGAGTTTGTTATGAGAAATATGCCATATAACAGTAATAGAGTGGTTGTACTCATTACTCAGCGCGTTAAAGCAAGCTTAACATTGAAAAGCCGGAAATCTGCAACCAGTGTCTAGTGTATGTTTGCTGTTTTGGTCATAAAAGGAAGCCGAAGGGTCATGATCAGGGAGTAAAAAGGTAATTAACTGTTATTAAGATCACTTTTTTATAGATCATATTTCACCACTCGCAAATTTGTGTTTTCTCACGGTATGATGTCAACTGGTACCTAATATGTTCACCCTTACAATGAAAAGTACCTGCAAATTCTCACCTTCATATTCGAGTTATTTTTGGACAACTGTCTTACAGTCTGAGTGCTTCGTACGCCCCGAGAAACTCTATTTCTACAACATTCGTAGTTCCAGTATAACTTTCTCACGCAGTAAGTTCAAATTAGACACTAGTCTTTCTAAATAAGCCTGTTAAGCTAATATCCGTATTCTCTATTTCAGTTAATCGATGAAGACATGTACCACGTGCATCCGCTGTATACTGCCATTTTACTGCAATTCTAACTGTTATATCTTACTTTTCAATAATCAAATTGCGATATGCTGCAAATACAGACTTATTTGTTTTGATGAAGGTAGGGGGGTTCACGGGATTTTCAGCAGGACCGTATTAATATTCTCAATAAAGAGCTAAGCGAGTGCGTAAACCAGTGTAAGGTACCATACGGGGTGCATTTGAGTTACCAGTGTCCCATTAGTGCAGGTAGGGGTATTGCTTGCTTGTCATATGGCATTTGAATTAGAAGCTATAAGATAAGACGCAGGTACGGTTAGGATGTGTAACGCGTGTCCATCCATCAGCTGGCGTGACAACTCATGGTGGTTAGAATAAGCTATGAGAGGACCCGAGTCTGTAGGTCTCCCAAGGAAATGACGTAGATATGCACCAAATCACCTTACGAAGAGCGCCTCCACTCATTATAGACGTCTTTGAGGTGACCTAATGGCTTACAATAACCTTAACACTTCTGGACATCCCCTAAAACACCTAACTAAGCTTAGTTCCAACACTAACCTAAGGGGTAACACTCAGAAACTAGAGACACAACATAGCAGAACGGACTGTAGGCACAACTTCTACCCCTTAAGAGTTGTCAAATGCTGGAGTTTTCTGCCGACCAAGCTAGTCCAAGCGACTTCCCAGGAGTCCCTTAAGAGGCAACTGGATTTATTCTTAAGGACTAAGTATAGTATCATACTATGATTTACCAATTTCTTTTTCCTCTTTTATTATTAACATACCTAGTTTCCTGCCTTGAGGTATTGGTGATCCCCTGCTACTAGACACGGAAGCCTGTTAAGCGAAAGCTTCTTCTATTCAGTCCACAACCATTTGAACACATGAACTAGGTGCTGAGAGGCTCGCTTATCACAAGTTTCTTGCGACGACTAAGTAGATAAAACAAAGTAGCATTAGATTGAAAAATTTATTGAAGAACTTTCATTAAGAATTGAATATCAAACAAAGGTTTAAACCAAGTTCCCGTTTAAAAGTTGTATTGGTAATGTTAAGCTGCAGTTTTTGTCGTTTTTTCCAAACGAAAGAGTAAAAGAAGTCAAAAAATACTGGGAGTGATTGCGAGACTAAAATGGACGTTCAGCATCCTTTTTATAATCTGCTGTTCATTGTGTCTTCCGTAAACACTTCCATAGGGCCATAGTTCCAAGGACGAAACAGTTTTTAGGGTCTTTGAAGACTCACTACTGTTGCATTCTAAATGAAAAAATATTGAATTTAGTCAGAAATGTGGAATATATAAATAACCAAATCACATGTTTTTTAGCAAAGAATTTATGCAGTTGTGATTTACCTTGAGTTCATGAATATTAGATAAGGTCAGCTACTATTACTTGCGCAAAGCATAACATGGGCTTAGTACCGTGTTGCAATGCTGTTATTATTTTGCTCCCATTTAAGTATTCCCATGCATCTGTGTCTAGTTTAACAGGAAAACATACAAGCAGAGTAAGTGTCTGATAAACTAAAAGTCCCAGTTGTCAAAAAGATTCTTAACATTTGTCCACAGCCAGCTGCATTTAATTGAGACACAGAACACTCATCTTCTAAGACTGTATACTGATATTTTGCGAGCAAATAAAAGCTCAGACACTTAGCTATCTTGCTACCGATGTTATTGCTGGGGAAATTGTTTAATGACAGTGATCATGAAATATGGTCAGTGATAAATGTACAGTTTAGAAATAAACACCAAACATACTTATCGCTATCTTATAATGTATGACAGCAACAGCATCAAAGGCACGTTTCTTCCTATTTTTAATCAGACCGATCTGAATCCGTATACACTGTAGGGCCAGTGAAATGTCACTGAGCCCTAGCCAAATCATCCGGCAGTTGGATCACTGAATGTCGAACAGATCGTCGCTCCCTGCCAAGGTCATGTACTACAAACGCGCATTAGTTAATCATACGCCATGGACTGGCCCATGCGGCAGTGGTCTTACTTTCGCTTGTATCTACTTTAACTAATATATTTCTGTAATAACGTCCTTTGTGTTGTACAGTCTTCAAAGCATCTATAGTACCTTGTTACGTCAATGGGGGTAGTCCACGTAAGGTGCTGACCACGAAGTGTGACTTCGACGTTAGTTGGTTCGTCACACTATTCACGTCTAACTCGAGTAGGCCTCCAATCATTTCGACATAGATCATCTACGTTGGTGATCTACAACACATTAGAAACAGGCAACTCTACTTACTAAACTGATCTGTTTCGTTACAGGCTTCAAGCACTATACTTAAGTATATCATAATTCTTTCAACTAAACTGAATTATACGACAACCAAGAACACTAAACTAAGCAAGTGTCATAGTTATTGTTTCACTTGCAAAGACATGTTGCTCGAAGTAGTTAAATGGACATAATTAAGCCGATAAAACCAAAACACGAAATATAGGCCAGTTGAACTTACCTAAGAGAAAAAGAAGGATACATAAATACTGCTTTCATTCTGAGGACAACAGGCTGTTGTTCATAGAAACATATTTTACAGTAAAACAAACCCTTCTTCAGTAAAATCATGCACTTACAGTCTATCTGGAAACAATCACCTATGTGAACAAACTCACTATGACTTGCGTGCAATGGACGTACAGTGTAACGCAGTCAGAAGTGGCGAATAAAAATTAAATACAGAGCAAAACTTACTACATAATCTAGTTATTTAATAAAAAATACATTATGAAATGACAAAATCTGTGGTTACTTGAACGCACAAATGACAGTGTGCGATACATTAAGCTTACATGGTTGCATTGCGGATAAGATCACCCGATAGAGCACTTATCCTTACAACTGAAGACTGAACGTTTCAATTGTTTGTGGTTGTAAGAAGTGGTATATTCAAGTTGTGCGTTACAGTAAGTCGACTTTTACGTAAACAAGTATCTCAAATCTTATTCAGTCTGCAGTGAGGTTAGGTGAAACTGTCTTTAAGTGCATATACTGCGTCTGTTTTCTTAATCCATGACAATCAAACGTTATCATCCCTACTTAAAAACAATAACTTTTGTATCAATTCGATAATAATTGTCTTACGACCTGATATATTTATTATAAATTTTGTTGTTTAACTTTATAAGTCTAATCACTCCATTATATCTTTTTCTACTCGTTTCTAAGGTTTTTTGACTTTGAATGTACTATGGAATTTACTAATGTCTACTTTCATCCGCATGCTTCAATAAAGGGTCCTGACCACTAGGATCTCGCAATGGTATAACTTGTGTAGTAAGTGGTTAGATATACGCCTCTCTCTTATCTTTCCTGTATATTGTTTCGTCCATTTTGTCTGACATTGCTCGTCTAATATATATATATATATATATATATATATATATATATATATAAAAATAATATAAAATAACACTACTGAAGCCATTTCGAAGTGCGCATTTATCCTTTGGTTTAATAAAGCTTATGGTGTTCAGGTTTTAATTTTGAAATCTGTTTGTTACATCCGCGTTGTTGACGTCTGTTTTGTGTCGCGATTTGTTCTTGAAGCATTTAAGTAACTGTATATATATATTTTGTTTGCAGATTTATAGACGTTCTAAAAATTGGGTCCCATTCACCATGGTTTTAAACATAACTTCAGTAGTTATCAGAACTGTAATGTGCTCCTTGGTAAATCCTGGTATGACACTGTCTTCGAGATTAGCTATAGTCATACAGATTTATAACAATAAGTAACTAATCCATATTTAGACATTGAGCTTTCGTTGTCCGGTCGAATATTTCATGTTATGAGCACTTATGATTGCTTTAAGTGGTTAGCAATATGTTATTATAAAAATAAGCTAATGTGTACTCATATGTGCTTCATTGTTGTCTTTGGTTGAAGCAGAACACCAGTAGTCGATGTGAGATTATTGGAGTTGTTTATCTTTATTTCGTTTTTATCGTTTTTAGGTAACTTCATTTTCTCCATACTAAAACACTCGTTTTTTTAAGATTGCTTCTGATCTATTTCTCCATTCTGCGGCTTACACAATGAATGGGAAAGATCGAGAAAATATTTTCAAGTTAATAAAGCGTGCTAAGGTAAACACATTTTGCAGTTATATATATACATATATATATATATATATATATATATATATGTCTGCTAAAAATACTTGATACAAGACAAATTCTGTTTTTTTTGCTCGAAGAAAAAAACATGCGGAGTATACGTAAGTGACTATCTATTAATTATGGTAAAGAGCAAATGTAACTGAGGCAGTGTTGTTAGCTCTTTGCCACATTCACCAGTTCTTATCACTTTGATGTCAATAGTCTAATAATTCATACATTTCCTTGTGAATTAATCTATGTGGAGTAATTCACTTTATTGTTGTGATCTGAATTTATCTAACTGAAGCGCTTATGATCTGTAAACTTTTACGGTGAGACTATAATTTATGGACGGCGTTTGAGCGAAGCTAGATTAACCTTTAGAGTATCCGCCTAATAACTACGCCCAAATGAGGGTAATAAACTGGTGTGGGGAATCAGAATTATGATTTACGGTTGATGGTTAAGGTTAAGAAATAGATTTAGGGTTTTCATCACGAGTTAACATCAGCTACAATGCCGAAACTCTATTTAACCAAATGGATGATTGAACTTCGAGTCACAATCCGAGATGTATTATCTTGTATCTGATTGGTTCGTCCACAAACTATAATCTCGTCACTTTTACTTGCAGATTCTTTTTCGCAAGCTAATTTACCAGTAATTCGGTTCTTTTACTTGTCTCATACAATTTAACTTTTTACATTTCATTGACAGGAATAGCAGTGGGCTGTTTAATTAACCAAATCATCTGTATATATGTATTCTTCCTCATTCTTTTACAGGAACTACAAACTGACGAAGAAAAGAATCATTTAAGGTGAGTTCATACCATAATTAATTAATATTTAAGACAGTTTTCGTCATAAGCTAACGGAAATGGAACAACTCTAAATAATTTGAGAGTGCTAGTTTGCTAATTAATTTTCTCTTAAACTCCATAAGAGGACATGCCATCTACTTCTGCTAGTCAGTCAGTCAGTCAGTCAGTAACTTCTGCTACGTTCTAGCTCATCATTTCAAGTTGGAAAACTTTAATCATTGGAATCGCATTAAAGAGAAAAGTCTTTCCTGCTGTGGTTTTGAGGTTAATTTAAAAATTAGACTTTTACAAATGTCTTCCACATTTCAGAAATATAGCGTCAAAGCAACTCGTATTTCAGCATTCGTTCGCTTAGTATCAATTAGATAAAAACCCTGGTTGCAAAAACTTGAATTGATGAAATAAATTTGAATTAGACGTCCTGCTTTTTCTCACCTGTTATCTAGAAAAGGAAGATTATGTTATGGTGACAAAATTGTTTAAAAAAAAGAGTTCCGCTTGGTACAAACACATTGTGTAACACTAACTTATATTCCAGTCAAATTTTTGCTTATTTCAGTTTGAGTCAACTTTGAGTAGTCTTTGTTAATGTTTTTCTTTAGGTCGTATCATTATTTCAGCGAATAATAATGTCAATACAAACTATTCTTTACATAATCATGTGGTATAGTCTACTGTTGTCTTAGAATATGTCAGTGAGTTGACTGATTATCACATGGAACTAATAGTTACATCAACTTTCCTGCGATTACCCACTAAATTTTGATTAAAGTTTTATGGCCGTAAAAAAATTACATTATCAAAGTCAACTTTATTCTTGTTTGAATTCAGATAAATTTAAATCCTTTCGTCAAGGAGACTGCTAAATGTAGGGAAAATGTATGTTGTGAATATCGGGTTGACTTATATTGTGGATACTCTATTTCATTCTCGTCTTAATACCTTTACTTCACTATTCAGTTACAGTCAAAATGCTGTCAGATTATATGGATCCATAGCTTTTATTATGTTATATTTCTCATCAACTTAATTTACAGGACTCAAGTCAAATGTTTCATAATGTTTACTGATAAACTGTTGTCTGCTTGATATAAACTTACCTAAGTGGTTTGTAGCTTTAGAATTCAGGAGATCAGGTATACTGACAGATCGTTATACGCTTTATTACAAAGACGTTTACACACACATTAATAAGATCTTCAAAATTGTATTGACTTTTCATAGAACTTTATATGACATATTGACTTAATCCAGTCCATTTTCTGTAACATCCAAAACAAATAAAACAGTATTTCAAGTACTTTTTATAATTATTGGATTATTGAAACTTGACTGATGCATAATATTAGTTGGTTGTTTGTTTCTTAAAATCATTTTTCCACCATAACTTATATGGCTTTAACATCCATTTAAATCAGAAAACGAACCGAAGGTCAATTGCTAAAATTTACAAATGTTATGAAAGGTTACCAGTATCGTTGGTTTGTGATAGATCCAGATTCAGGAAGGATAGAATATTATGAGGTTAGTTGATTATCTTATATAAAACGATAAAAACGAAATTTTCTCTTACAAAATTGATTGGCAAAGTTATGTAAAAATTTCTCTCATTATTTAAAATTATAATTAGAATAATTCTGTATCAGTCACTACTACTGTTTCCTCTTTTTGTAATATAAAATATTTTCCTACCTATTTTATGATTCCTTTTCAGAAAGAAGATCATAAACGATCACTTAAACCCCGTGGAGCCCTAAGTCTTATAGTAAGTGCTTTTGAACCCAAGAGTTTTAATATTTTTATTCAAATGATTGTAAAACACAACTGAATCAAAATTGTATTTTCGAAAATTTCTTATCAGACTACATGTAGGATAACATGTTGATAACATTTGGGTTGTTGTAGTGAATAGAGTTAAAATACATGTTTATGAATTAAGTAATCATAATGATGGTAACAGTCTTACAAATTTGTAAGGGCTGTTATTTTACTACTCAATGCTATTTTATCGATATATCTCAAAATAAGTCAAAACTCGTATTCGATGTTCCATTCTTGGAAACATCATAAAAATATCCTAAAGTCATATAGGCTCTTATATAGTTTGCCACGAATTGGTATTCATGGGGTAGGTGTTTTGAAAATACATCTGAACTAGTAAATCTAACCGATTGTAAGAGTTCAGTCAGTCATTTAAGAGATACAGAGATACGGAGAGTTATCTTGTCCATTTCGCGATATAGCGGAATACAATTTTCTTTGATAAGTTCCATCTTTCGTAACTCATTGGGTCTTAGACCAGATAGTGTTTTTTAATGAGAGTTGCTTATTAGAACTAAAAGGGGTTTGTACGTGCATTTTACTGTATACGGCCACATTTAAAGTGCCTTCATACTATATAAACTTTTCGTTCTTATCTTCGTTGACATTAAAATTACCTTATTTTTCTACAATTTTCAGTATGCCTCCATTTGTCCTTCAGATGAAGATTCACAAACCTTTTTTATTAACGCCGCAAATGGTGATTTATTAAAACTGAAAGGTTTGTCTCATATATAATTGTTTTCGGTAAAAGTTAGGTATAGGGAATAGCTTGGGCGATTCCAAGTAACTATGTGATTTTTCAATCGATAAGCAGAGAGTTTGTATAAATCAAAGTATTTCGCACCAGAAATAATGAAACCTGTTCGAGCGTAATGGTTTTCAAGGTTTATTATCAGTTTCCTGACCCTAATTTTGTAAAAATATCGCTGCGTAAAAACGTTAATGAGAGTTTATTCACCCCAACAATTTTTCTATGAATCCTTCTCATAGCCACAAACAGTTTCACTGAAAATTCATCATCACCTACAAAATTTACTGATAAATTAGCTGAGGAGTTACTAAGGCGTAATCATGGGAAAAACCTGGTTGATGTCGTATCGAAATGAAGGATTTATTAACTATTTTGGCATTCCCACTTCACCAGCTCACCTAATATTTAGTAAACCACTAGTAAAATGATTTCCTTACGAGTTTACTATAAACAAAATAATTTTGAACAAAAACTGGTTGATTCACGTGTTAGAAAAAGTCTATGTAAAAAAAAGCATGTGATTTGTTTAACATAATCATTTTCGCTTTATGATAACAGAAAATAACTCTTCTTAGTAAGTTTAAGCGTTACGACCAGTCATCCAGTCAGTTAAAACATAGAACCATGACCCACTAGCATAGAGAGATATAATTGTTGAGCCAAATCTCAGAATAGTAGTCGAATTATGAGTGGTGGTAGAAAAGATTAAGGTTTAAAGATACTATACACCTGCGCCATTGCAGACGATTTTGTGCCATGTCATTCAATGTCTCTGTTGGTTATGATAATCACGTTATGATCATTGTCCGAAGATATTTTTTACTTGGCAGTTTTATACAACAAGGCAAAAGTTACTAATCTTTGAATTTCAGGCATAAAGTTGAATCTAGTTTTCTCGATTCTGATTCTCTCGTCCGTATACCATATTTTTGTTGTTTGTTTGCTTGTATATTTCTATTTGTGTGTTTTTGTAAAATGGTTCACGTTAACACTAATTTCGCGAAAGGAGTATACTTCGAATATTTTCACTACTTCATTATTGATTTCATTAGTGAAATCAGTAAATGATAAGACAGTTATATGTTATATGTTGTAATGAATAATAAATAACTCCAGGGATAATTTCTTTTGTGTTGTTTACTTTTCACAAAAAAAGTATATTTAAACTGAACTCAGTAACAGAGATATCTATTTGTGTTTTGAGGAATTAATGTTCATTTCTGATATGACAGGAAGAAAAGTCAAAATTAGATTGATTTATTCATTATGACTTTTATTCAACATTAATTCCGTCTTTCTTAATTCAATGTATTGATTACTCAATGTAGTATTCGTTTTATTTTCCCGTATGATAATTTCTTCTGTATAACATACGATAATCTTGTATTAGGTTAATATGAACTATACTCAGCATATGATTTGTTATAACTCTAAGAATTTTTCATATATGTGATTCCATCCTAGTTATTAATCAAAATGGGTGTACACACCAATATATAAATGAGTCTGTTTCCAACTAGAATTGTCGTGATTGTTCGTGTTTCTGGCTGCTTATGGAATGATTGTATTTTTGCTTATTTTTTAGCAATTGATGCTAAAGAGAGGCAATATTGGGTAGATCGTCTTCGAGCAGTTGCTGAATATCATTCAGAGAAAGCTGAACAGCATCCATTGGTAAGTAAGTTATATGAATGACAAATTCATGTATATCTACGTCCGTTGTACTCGTGGATTAATCGGTGTTTTGTTTGATTTGGCTTTTTTTATTCCATGATTATTTTACTATTTGTGCAAATAACTTTCAATAAACCACAAGTTCTAGATCTGCTCTATTTATCAATATTTGTGGAATCATTTGATTATTGCCTTTCACATAGCTTATGTCTCATCCGGTCCGGAAAACCAGTCTACGCTTGACTTTTGGGTCGGTTATCATTATTATAATTATTGTTCAAATGCTTTAGTGTTGTTCTACTTCATATTTTCCAAAATGACTATTCTAAGCACTCTGGTATTCTTTCCAATATTTATCATTCTTTTTAGCCGTAATATCTTCTTGTAAGAATATTTAGTGACTTCTAAAGTATTATAAATAATTTAAAACCTATTTTCCTTCTTTTGCATAAGAAACTTGATGAATGTCTTAAAATTATCTGATTCGTTTCCGATGATTGGTATAAATGAAATGTACATTGGGATATGATTCATATCTGGTTCTAGTGATATTGCCTGGTTACAAAAATTTTAGTTAGTGAAGGGTTGTTTGAAATTTGAATACAATTTAACTCTTTACCAACTACAGGTTTGTTTACTTAGTTTTGAACCACACTGTTTATATAAATGATAACGGTTCTATACAACCGCACGAACATTAGTAGGTGTGACTGGATTTGGACCGGAAACCTACTGGTTTGAGACCGATTATCATAGCCACTAAGCCACCGTACTCACGCTAATCGATTAGCCAATTACTGAACTTACCTGTTTTAAAAATGTTACATTCGTTATCTTCATATTTGATGACCGAATGCAAATGAATTAAGTAAGAACCGGAATACAAATGCTCCTGAATGTACATTTAAGTAGTTGAATTGACTTACATGTACATTAGCAATAAACAATCAAAGTGTGGTAAGAATGAGTAGATACAACTGCACTGAAATATTAGTAGTGTGGGAATAACATTATAAGTAGATATCTCTATATTTTATTTGGATTTAATCTAACACTTGCACTTAGTATCACTAGTAGTTGTATTGTAATGACATAAACCTAGGACTGCATTAGACTGATTTAATCTACAATGTTGAAAGAAATTAAAATAGTCAACTAGTCAGTGCGTCTTAAGTATTTATACATCAATAGACTAATGGAAAATGATTAACGGATAATTTGATAGACAGGCAACTAAACAATATTGGAAAAATTTATGTATAAGGCATTTGAATTTAAGTAAAACAAGAACAATTAATGTGGCAGAATGACATGATTTCATTATATTTTGCGGTTTCTTGTCAACTACTTACAGCCTAAACATAATAGTATTAATCTCTAAAAATCGGTTTACGTACTTTGTAACATCGGAAAAGTTCTCATCAATCAAGATTAATGAAACGATCAATAAGTATGAAAGAGGTATTCGTATGTCAATTAATGTGAATATTTATAGGTTAAATATGGAAATATCGTAGCATAAACAACTAAGAACATAGAAATAGAATTATTTAAAACTACTATATCAATAGATGAAAATAATTATATTTGTAATATCAGAAGGGTTTATGTGGATGTTATAGTAAATTCAATGGTTGAGATCATGAGTCAATTGAACCTAGACCACCATGGAAAGCTTGGAATATCCCGATGAGTAGAAAAATTAAATTTTCTGACGTTTCGTGACTTAGTATAAACCACTTCTCCAGAGAATAAATAACCAGATTAAATTAACCCAAGTTTAAATAGTACAAAGGAACAAGGCAAGAATATTAGGTAGGATCAAACAAAAACACGTCTGACCAAGTCATTGTCATGTCATTCCGGTCAAGGTGATTTATGTGAGGGATTTTTGTATTATTTGTGTGTATGATAAGGGATGAAAAATGTGACATTTGTGGTGAGAAAGGATAGAGTTTAGTTTATATGTACGATAACAGTGTGTAATGTGAATAGAATCAAATATAGTGGCTTGGATAGATGACCGAAGTCGGATGGATAGTAGGACCTTCTTTCCTATTGAGGGCAATAGGATTAAGCAATATATGAAAAGCTTCAGCGACTCACCTTTCTTCGTAGTTGGAAAGGGTTTTCTGTATTGTTTTGATTTTGATATCGATTTGATGGTTGTTGAAAATGGCACGAACTGCTATTGACGATTTAATTTAGAGTCTCCTCGGTTCTACAGGATTATTAGGTGGTTTCGTTGTGTACCTGATATGTTCTTTGGCTCGAGTCAAGATTTCACGAGATGACTCTCCAATATACAAGGCATCACAACATAAATATCGTAATTTGTAGACACAATTCTGTGTTGACATAAATCGGAGATCTCATTACTACTCCGTTAGTTTGTTTACATCATGTCCCATCAAAAGTAAATAACGTTGAATTTAAGCTAAGTTTTAGGGATTTCACGATTAGAATAATGCTTAGAGGACATCTATCAGATAGAGTATTGTCGTTCTCTAGTAAACCACTAATAAATTCTAAGCATCTATCAATAGGAATGTTAGTGCATAATGATACAACATCATAGCTCCCCATGATTTTATTCTTTTTGATAATTAATTCCGATATTTTTGATTTAAAGTCATAGGAATCTTTAATTATATTATGTACGTTATGTTGAGGTGGCTTTAATATGCTGCTCATATATTTAGATAATACATATGTTGGCGTGTAGCTTGTTGGATAGAAGCTATTGAAGTTTAAGTACAAGGCACTCCATATTCCCTTTCAATAAATATATCTTTCCAATCGACCTGTTATACCAAGGTCAAGAAAACGAAACACATTGTCTTGTTCATATTCTACTGTAAATTTGATTTGAAAAACATAATGTATGCTAAGTGCAATGCATTTCAGATAATCCGACCATATATTTACTTTCAAAATGGCAAATGGAAATATACGGTTGTAAAGATAGAATATAGAGACTGAATATCTAGATAAATATTAAGAGTGAATACGCCAACACCATTTTAATTGGCTCTGAACCATGTTACCAAATGTCTCCTACTACTAATTGTAGTAGCAGCTACGACTGGATTCGTGACTCTAAGTTTGAAGTTTTGAAAAACGTTTGGCTACTCTCACTCAAACATTTTGATATTTTTAAATACTGGCTTTTATAGTATCATAGAATTTTCCCATGATTAAAAATTGCTCACCTGAAGTCTGTGTTAAAAGTGGATAATACCTACCTTTGGATACCTTAAATTTCATTAATTAATCAAGTCGAGATAAATATGTATATTTCTGTAGACATCTTTCTGGTGTATTCACCACTAAGGTGTTTTATTATCGTATATGAGTGGGAAAGATTCCTTATCAGTTTATGTTTTCTGAGCCTACATCGTTTTGTATCCAGATGTATTATAGGTCGTACTAATTAGACCGATCAATCATATTAAAATAATACGTAAAAATAGTTTGGCGTAAAACAACTTTTTCCCCCAAAATTTTGGCTTTGTTTTTGATTATTTATCTTTGTACTAATTACTCATTCTTAATCACTTCATATTTAATTAAAACTTAAAGTACATTATTCTTTGTTGCCTCTTTTAACAGATCGCTACTTTATCTGGGACTTCTGAATCCTCTAACCATGTAGATTCACAAACTACCGGATCTCAAGTGCCAAATTCCTGTAAGTTGTAGAGTTTGTCTTCTCAAGTTCACTCTTTTTTATTGGATCAACCTTAGCAACAACAGTAAATAAACTGGAGTTAGAAATATGAACTATTGGATACTGATTCAGTAATCTGTGTCGAGCATTCTACATGTGTCCTAACGCTCTTGAGTTTTACCTGCGGAGTCGTGCATAATTCTGAGGAGTCCCATACTAGCACGAAGCAATCATCTAGTGCTTCCTAGTTTTCACTGGTTGTCCAACTAAGAACAATCAGTGAAATTGAATAACTTCCATAAGCCCCCTAAATAGTACATAATATTTGAGTACTCTTTGTATGTACTTTTGGATTTTGTTATGTTCTTTTACTGCCTAGTATTCCCTGACCACAATATCTCTTTTGACCGTCTACAAATTACAATAGGAATTGAGAATGAACGGTTTAAATTCCGAAAGAAATTGAACAACAAAGATATAACACTAAAACATTGACTTTTGTGTAAAACATCAGCATCTAATATCTCGATTTGTCCACTAGGGTTGATTGATCAAAAATGAAACAATCAACGTATTCTGATATGAGGGTTATTAGAGCCTGTAATTATCAGGATTCCATTTCGCTAACAGAATGAATAAAATCTCATACATACCACTGATGGTATCCTAGTTTGTACATTGTAGTTTCTGTCTTTATCTTACTAGTGGTAGCTTAAGTTAATACTAAATTTTACATACACACTCAACAGTCAGATATACGTTTATGTTTAGACACCATCTTCGTTTGAATACATCTCAGTGTTTTGTCTTTACAGTTGTCGTATCAATAATCCACTGGTCATCTACACCCTTAATTGAATATAACGTTTGTTGATAAATACTGGTTACTCGAATTAAATTCACTTAAGTTTACATTTTTTCAAAGTCATTTTTCAACCATTTTGAAATATCTTTTGCTTTACCGTGCTTCATTTTTTAGCTAAAAGTTCGTGTTCACAGTCAAATGAAGTTAATCATACTAGTGATCAGTCTACTAATGGAAATTTTCCTATTGCAGAGTAAGTTTTGCGTGTCATTGTAAACCATCAAAATAGTATGTGTTTAAAATTTCTTACAATAGTTTAATTGTTTCAATAATTATTCACAAATTTACGGTTAGTTTTCGATATAATTTAGTCTACTTCTTCTTTGGAATGAAATATTAATGACTAGAGAACTTGATTTTTAACTTCTAGGTCTGAGTTGATCGGATTTACCAGCCCTCAAACAGTGTTCAACTTAAACCCAAGCACGGCGAGAACCATAATTTATCGACAACCTTTTAGCGATACCCAAGTAATTTCGAGAAAATTCAACTACTAATTAGTACGGCCAGAAGTATGTTATAAACCAGTGTGAGGAATTAGGATTTGGATTTAAAGTTAGGATTTTTATCACAAATTCATTCTATCTATAATATCAAAATGCTGTTTAGCCGTATAGATGGACAAATTTTGCACCAAAATCCAAAACTTGCTATCTTCAATCTAATTTATTTATTATTTATTTAAACACATAAATAGAGGTATAAGGGGGCACTAAATATATATGCGCCATATAAATCATTCCATCTATGTGAGGGCTGTGACACTGCTCGGGTGCCCAAACCGAAGCAGGTGGTGTTCTTAGGAGGCCACCCCCCCCGAGCCTTTGACTTAAAGGACTAATCCTCAAGGCAATGGAGTAACGTCAGGAGATACAGTCCCATGGTAGTCAGTGACCAACTACAGGTTCATACGCCATTTACTTCCTTAGTATCCTGGAGCCCATGTACACCATTGTTTTGGAATCAGGGTTTTCGAACTCCTTTATGTAGATCCTCTATATCCACCAACCCGGTTAAAGCACCGGACATTCGCTTGTTGTCCTCTTACTTTCGTAAACGACACCCTAGCCTCGAGAAGGCAGTGAATAGGACTTTCTTGTCAGTGGTTGCATACATGTGGCCACTGGAAAGCATCTCGAGAGGAAGAGCGGACTCTCCTCACCCTTTACTGTACCAGGGCATTTTGGGGGTTATATCTAATTTGTTCGTTCAGAGACTATAGTCCTGCTGGAGTTCTCTTTGCTCCAATAATACTAATGATCTTCACTTAATCAATAACATCATGGCCACCAATAACGATCGGATATCCCAGTTCCTGTTAGTTCACGTAAACTCTTTCTTTTCCCAACTTGTGCAGCCAGAACACAGGAATAGAAGGTGACTTGCCTTCTTTTATTATAACTCGAAACTCACATAATAATACTCATCAATTATAAGACAATTCACTGTAATTAGAAAATCACAATCTATGCATAACTATGTCACTTGTGATATAGAGTAACTGAGAAATAGGTTCGCAAAAGGGACATGTGTCAACAGTTGTCAACTTAATTGTAAGCTTACAATTAAGGCAACATAAAAATACTGTAAACTAAATATTTAACAAATAAACAACAAGAACATACATAATAATCTACTGTAGAATAGTTATATAATCTCCACCTTTTCCATTTATTCGCCAATATCTAACAAGTACGTAAACTTATATTTGGTAAATTTATTTCATATATGCATATACGCTAATCGATGACCCAAAAAAACCAATTCATTAAATTTACAGTTGAAAATTAATTAGTTTACTATAAAACTGTTGATCGACTTACATAATGAAATGCAAGTCCTGTTATATAAGTAGAAATGTATTCGTCGTTTATAATCAAATATATTATGTGGCAACTCAAACTGTTTGTTTATTTTAGCAGTTAAATTAATGAGTCGATCTAAGCTAGACCACCATCAAAAACCTGGAAGCACTAGACTAATGTTTCGTCTAAATTTTGATGTTTAGATAATGAGGAATGATACTCTAGGACCAGATGATTAAACCGTCTACGAAACCTTAATGTCAATACCGATTCTCCCGAATAATGAACTGAAATCCAAACAAAGAATTCAACTCAACAGAACTGGTTTTCTCCCAATAGGCATAACATGCTTGACATAGTGAGCCAATCAAAAGTAGCCAAATGAGGTCACTTGATAACAGTTAGAAACGACCCGAAGGATAAATCCATATCATTGGCTAGGAAATTGATTGATTTTTTAAGAGGTATAAATATATGTGTATATATACTTACATGGTATTGTTTACTTTTATCTTCCTATTGATGTTTGGGACTGCAATCGGTCAGTGTCGTATTGGCATATGTGCATACTGTGCGTATTGCCTCGATATTGCCTTAATTCACATGCATTATAAACAAAGGTGGGTAGCGTGGTAGTATTTGAAGCGAACGATACTGGGTTCGAGTCCCGTAGAGGGCATCAACTCTGAAATGTGGGTCAATCCGGCTGACGAATCCCAAGTGGGACGAAACACAGGTCCTGGATTCCACTGCTAGCCATTATCCATCTTTGCTTATAATGCTTGTATATATATATATATATATATATATATATATATATATATATATATATATATATATGCGCGTTATGCGGTAACCCAATAAGCTCCCTCTTCCGATATTACCTGTTTCGCTCATGTGGCCAGCCGAAGTGGGGTTAGCGTGTAGTAAGTTGTATATCGGTATCAGATCTCGGGCACGGCTCATCATAATAGTACTTATGTTTAAAATATGAGATATAAATTTACCTATACAATACAAGTGATTCGAGGGTATAACTTTTGTAAAACATCTTTCCCATCTTATCAATGAATAATAAGTCTATATCAAACTAAGACTGAAGACATCATTCTTTGAAAATTAATTAATCTTTAATAAATAAGTTTCTCTTTGTTTAATAGTGTACATTCAGTGATTAGCATTACTTTGCGTGCCTACAATTCAATATAGTTGAAATAAATATCTATTTTTCTTTTTAAGCGCTAGTACATTCCCTGTATTCTGTCCTGGTCGCCCATCTGATCCACGAGTCCAACTTGGAGAATTATTTCGTCAGTTAGAGTTGGAAAATCATGCACTTTCCACTGTTGTTGATGTATGTCATATATATTGTTTCCGACGTTCTTTTTCGAATAAAAAACAGTGAAAACAATTTAAGTTTAGTATATATTTGTAAAGGAACTTTCTGACCATCTATACTATATTGATTTATGATAGTAAAGTCAGTCAGCTATTATTAACATTACGACCTTGAACAAGTTTGTGTCAATTTACGTTGTCGTCATACCTCATGTCACCGGGACAGTAAGAAAAAAATCAATAAAACCAGATAGATAGAATGGAAAATATTATCTAATAGAAGTGGATTCTAAACACTCAAGAAATACAATGCAAAAGAAATCAATGCGATTAAGGAATGAAAGTGACAAGTGACTTAAGGTTTTGAGAAAGCTAGATAATTAGTAACAACTGTACCACAGCGATCAATATTACACCATATCACCCAACGGCTTGAACCATTGATTACGAACATTGTCTTTTGATAGAGGGGGCACATCAAACCCGGAAGTCTACACCTATCGACGTGGTTGAAGTGAGCAACCAATTACTTCATGAACTGACATTACTATATCTTAGTCTGTTCACCCTAGCCCCTTTTTCCAACTTACTCCAGTGTTACAGAATTTAAATTGAGCTGTACTATGTTTTTACAAATCACTGTATGTTACGTACTATATTGTTGTATCTGCTACTGGACATACTACTTTACTCGACTGGAATGGAAAGAGAACGAAAATGTATTTCAAAAATCGAAACAGAAAAATGTATGTATCAGGAACATTATTGCCTACATAAAATCTGCACTGGAATATTCTAATGTCTTTACAATCCCTTAGCACTGATTGATAGAAAAACAGACCTGTTAGCATCCTCCGACATAATCTTCACTGGAGTATGCAATAATCAAAACTCTATACTGATAACATATACAATAATTATGACCAGAATGGGAGTTTGTGGAGATTGTACTAATTTTAATAGTTGAATTCATAAGTAGATTTAAGCTAGACCACTGTTGAAAACATGGTTTTCAAATATACAGTAATTATTGATTTTTCTTCGTTACTTGTTATAAATTTCTATTCTACTGTCTAAAATTGTATTATCTAACTTTGGATACACAAAAGTAAAGCCTTTATATTTAATAAATTGTGACCCATTATACTTTATACCTTTTGAGTAATTAGGTTAAATTGAGCCGTGCCGTAGTCCGGTTACTCAATTTCTATCTCTTATCCTTACTTAATAATGAGATGTTTAAAAAATTTTTTGTATATGTTCTTTACTCGATTAGAGAACCTCCATTCGAAGTCCGGAAATTACAGATGTATTCAAAGTAAGTTGTTCTTCATAAATAGAACTTTTCTTTCCTGTTCGTATTAGATACACTTAAACAGTCTACAGTTAAGAGTACATTTCACTGACGATCTATAGCGACTATTAAATGATGTTGAAAAAGTAAATCCAATTTTCGAGCGATCAGGATTTAAGCGACAAACTAAGAAGCCAAAAAATGTTAGGGTTAAGATCAAAAGCTATGGTTAGAGTTGGAGAGATTGGTTTGTAGTTAAGTTAATAAACAATTATGCAGATGATTATTTGATTTCAAGGTGAGACTATAATTTATGGCCGAACTAGGCAAAGTCATTATATGTGGAAATTATATTTGAAATAATCTCAGCGATTGAAATTTAAAACAATTCCAACGTTTCGTCCAGCAAACTTGTTTGAACTTCTTCAGGGTAATAATCAACATCACCAAAGAAATATATAGCGTTTGGCACCATAGCTGATGTCAGTTCATAATGAAAATATTAAATTTCATCCCTAGCCCTATCGTTCAAACGTAAATCCGAATTATAATTCCTCACACCAATATACAACTTTCATTTAACCTTAGTAAGTGGACATTCTAATGTCATTTTAGCGTTGCTGAAAGGTCGTCCATAAATTATAGTCTTATCGATCAAGTTCATACTTATTGTTTTATTGCTTGTTAATTTTAAGTGTCTCATACTGACTAACTATAAGTAGATTTGATCCACTTCTTACTTTTCGCTTAATAAAATACAATCTGTCCGTTACTATGTTTTGAATCCTGCACAGTGATAAGAGAGCCGCTATCTTACATTTGTTTGGCTCATCAGTAAAGTATACTTTAACAAATTTGTGTCATATTATTTTTCCTATTTGCTGATTTGGTATATATATCCATGTATAAAATATCAGTAACTGTTATATTCCTTCTAGTCAATATCATTTGTTCAGGGATTATATTGCGCATATTGTTTACCAAGATTTGCCCACTAACTGAATAATAGCACGTACAGCTTTCGTTTTATCATACATTACTTCTTCATATTGTCCTAGGTTTCAATATTCTTAGTTCAAAATATTTGAGTCTTTTTAGCATTTTATTAATTCAAGAAGTTGGTCGATTTTAACTTAGTAAATTGGCGGCTTAAAGGATTTTGAAACCCATAAAATCCTCGACTTAAACACATAAATCAATGTGTATTATTTAAAAATGGAGATTACTTTTCTATAGTTATCTTTCTCACTACTTTGCTCTTATAATATCGAATTTTACTTGATTAACTCATGGTAACTTTGAGATATTTATTGTTGTTACATAACCGGAGAAGATCATTTTATATCAATTAAAATACAGATAAACTGATTACTACATTTATATACTTTCATTAATTAAGATAGTTTGAACATCCCTTATACTTACCCCGTCTATTTTCCCAACATGTTATGTTGAATAATGAGATTAAAACACTGATTGGTATTAAAAAGGTAGACCTGACATTTATTTCACGGTTATTGTGATTCCTGATGAAAATGTACAAGGATAACACTGATTGCTATTTTATTATTTCCATGAGTTATTTTAACTTATCGTTTGAGCTTGTAATAATCGTTATATATGTGTAAACATATGAATAAACCATTATGATGTTAGGTAGTCGGAAAAATAGGCCAATAATTATCATGTTAAGTCCAATGGTGTCCTTGGACCTTAAATGTACATTTCCTATTGGTCGATGTTTACTTCACTTGTTAAATATTTTGTAAATGTTGTTTCCTATTTTATGGTACGATGTGGTATGCTTGATTGGTATATAAACAAAGTATGTTTGAAATATAATGATTCATAACTCCGAGGCTGTGACTTGTGTTCTTGACTCAACTGGCTAGGACAGACAGCGAGGCAGGGCCAATCAGGACACTAGGTCGTCCTTACATGTTTACGTGTCCACTGTCACAGAAGCGATTGATATAAACGCTGCGTATCTAAAACCTGCAGTCACACCCGTTACAACATATGACAAGATATTAAATAGGATATATATTATTCACGCTAAACGTCAGGGATTAGTGAATAAATAAGTTTACTGTTTCTTAAATGAATAGTCATTTAATAGAAAGAATGAAATAATATTTATGCTTGGGTGATATTTGCAAACAGTAGTTCTTAACATAGTAGAGTCGTTTTGTTTCGTTTTGAAATGGTATCAACTATAAACCCAATTTTGTATTCTTGAGTATGGTATTTTATAGTTAAATAGGTAGTTGTTGTGTAATTTCGCAAATTTATCCAATTAACAATTGTTTTCAACTATACATTGTTCAATCTATGGAATTGATCTGTATATAAATATAATAAGAAAACTTATCTGTATATACAAGAATGTAAATCAGTAATTGTGGCTTGGAAAGTGTACAGCTAAGTTTGATTCACGTAATATCAATAGCAAATGTTTTGTAAGTGTGCAGTACGACCAAATCATTATCTTGATTTTCCCAATTTAATTTCTTGATGACAACACGAACGATTTTTATATTTTAAATATTAAAAAAAAGTTGACTAGTTCATTGCTGTCTACTTTATGACATGCAGTTTTTCGTAAAGTAACTTCATCGACTTATTAATGACATGTGGTGTACTTCACAATTGCTTCTTAATCACTTCATGAATGGCCCTTTCACAATTTCTGATGGTGCTTCTTCACGCTTCAAGCGATTGAAACACTACCAGATACAACGTACTCAAGAACATGTTATCAGTGTCTATGACAATGTTCGAAACAATACAGCTAGTCCCTTATGTTCATAGTTTACAGAAAAGGTGATCAGTCGAGAAATATTTGCATTGAATCAAGCTCAAGTGTCGATTGATTGGAGAATGTTTGTTTTTTAGAAATTAAGTTCACTACTCGACATTCTTTTTCAAAACTATAACTAGATATTTCATATTTATTTATTTATTTTAACACAGATACTGGTAAAAGGAGGTACCAAATACATATGCGCCAAACAGATCTCATTTGATATGTGTGAGGGCTATGATACTCCCCGGGTGCCCAAACCGAAGCAGGTGGTTTTCTTAAGGAGCCACACCCGGAGCCTTCGACCTGAAGGTCTGATCCACAAGGCAGTGGAGCAACGTAAGGAGATGCAGTGACCAACGATTGGTTCATACGCCATTTGTTCCTTCAGGATACTGGAGCCCATGTGCACCATTGGTTTGGAATCAGGGTTTTCCAACTCCCCTATGTGGACTCTTCATATCCATCAACCCGGTTAAGGCACCGGACATTCGCTTTTTGTCCTCTTAACTTTGTAAACGACACCTCAGCCTCGAGAAGGCAATGAGTAGGACTTCCCTGGCAGAGGCTATATACGCGTGGCCACTGGAGAGCATTTCGAGAGGGAGAGCAAATTCTCCCCACTTTTGGCCGTACCAGGGCATTTGGAGGCAGATATTTCATAGTTCGGTATATTATATAATATACTCCGAATTCAATTATGGTTGAATTAATATCAATAATATTTGTTATTGAATAACCTTGATTTATTCATTTAATATATATTATAATATATTTTATTGTAAAAGTTAATTTTTGCTATCATCTCAAATATTTATTTTTTTCTTTACAAAAACAAAACAAACAGAATCTTCTTTTATCAAAAGCAACAAGTCAAGCAACATTGGATTGTTTAAAACGTTGTATGGAATTGATCAAACATCAAGAGATAACAAGTATAGTAGAAAATGGTAAAATGGTTAGTGATAGATCTGATTTGTTCTGTCCTTTTTTCAATTAAGAAGAAATAATATAAATGATGTTCATAAGATAATGTTCATTTATATAAGATTAATAATAACCTTATAATATAGATATCTATGTGTTTTATCGTTTCAGTCAACCTGTAATATTTTATCAGATTTAATTTAGTTACATATGAAATAGTTTAATACCTAACTTTGCTCATTATTCTTTTTACGATATGTAAGACGGATAGCTTAGTGTGTTAATGTAGTCATGATGAATTGTCATTACAGTTAGTTATTGTTTGTTTAATGAGACATTACGATCAGTGGTTATTTAGTTGTCTAATAGCTTATGAACTTCAGAAGTTGACGATTGATCATAGGATATAACGTTGTATGAACTAAAACTTACTTATACAATTCTCAACGTGTACAATTTTATTTACCCAGCTTTAGATCACACTATATATGTGAGGGGTAGTCATACCAGCCGTCTGTTTAAACCGAGGTAAATGAAGATGAACTTGAACTATCGACTTAGTGGTTGAAAGTTGAACACTTTAACTAACAATTAATCGCTCCATCGTCTTGGACTGATACGGATACAATACTCCAAATACCTCTTTAGTGATTTTCAGATAATGCGCTGTTTCTTCTAGTAACAATTAAGTAAAATATGTAAAAAATTATTTTTTTAATGGTAATAAATTTTCATTACCATTAAAAAGTAGGTCAATAAAGTGTTAAATTTGAAGCAAACTCTGCTGGTATTAATTAGTTACTGTTTAGATCTACTGGCTCAATGGATAGTTCATTGGCGTTCCAGTCTCAATGTGAACATCACCACTGAGATGCACCTATATCCAACCAACTAATCTCACATAAGATACGAGTCCTAGGTTTTATCACTTGATACATACCAAATTTACCAAAAAACTACTGCGTTTGAATCCCATTCGCGACATCCTCATGAAATTGACTACATTCGACTAAAGAGTCTTTAACAAAATGAAATGATATTAAAACATTATATTCTTTATTCATTTATTGTTTCGCTCAGGCTAAATCGTATGCTTCAAATACTACAGACAGTACAAGTTTGTATCCTAGTGTATTTAGTACTGTGGTTGACTCATCTGAAACTTACAAAATCAATGATATGAATATCTCTAATGGCCTTTCAAGGTATATTTTATTTTGATCTTATACTGTTTCATTATTATTATTATTATTATTATTATTATTATTATTATTATTATTATTATTATTATTCAAGGTGATCAAACCTGTGATTTTGAAAATTAAAGGACTGATTATCAGTAGTTTAGATTGTTTTTGTCTTTTCTTATGAACTTCGTTCATCCTGTCAAGTTTATTTATTTGTTAGTATGTTTTGTTTAGTTTATAGTGTAGTGCTTTTTTTGTCTTAACATGACTACTGATTTACTTACTATATGTGTTTTTCAAAACACTTCTAAATGTATCAGAAGGGGTTTGTGGAGATTTTTAGAAATTTTCACAGATTGAAATCATGAGTCAGTTGAAGCTAGACCACCATTGAAAACCTGGAAGCACTGGACGGCCGTTTCGTCCTAGTATGGAGTACAACCAGGTCTGTTGTGAGATATCAGCTCACTGAAGACAACGGTATATGGTGGCGCAACTTCGTGGATTGGTTGAAGTTAGACATTAACACCGTTGGATGCCGGCTGGCTCAGTGGTCTAATGGTTAAGTGCTCGCGCGCGAAGCCAGTAGGTCCTGGGTTCGAGCCCCGCATGGTGCGGGATCGTGGATGCGCACTGCTGAGGAATCCCATACTAGGACGAAACGGCCGTCCAGTGCTTCCAGGTTTTCAATGGTGGTCTAGCTTCAACTGACTCATGATTTCAATCTGTGAAAACTTCTAAATGTAATTAGTTTTCTGAAATGTGGATTGTCCTTGAAGAATAATATAACCTCACTAATATTCATAATAGGAATTATGTTGTTGTAAAAAAAGGCAACCTAATTGTGTTCCTATGAAGTAACAAGTCTAAAATTGCTGGCTTAGTAATCTCGATCTGTAAATTAAGACCTAATACTGGTTAAAGTATTTTAAAATAACGTATTTATCGTTAGCAGAACAGATATTTGATTAAAACATGTTTTAGAAATCACTTTGAAGCGCTCTAATAGGTTCATTCCCAAAAGTCAGTGCCCGTAGCTGAGCTGAGATGTCTTTAGAATATTCATGTGCAAAGTTTATGCATACCCTGACATTTTGTTACTTAACTAACATGCTGTTTTGCCTAAAATATATTTATATTCTGTAAAAGTCGCGTTTAAATTTGGGAGCTAGTTGACTAAAGTGTTCAAGGCTACTGAACGGTAGCAGAATACTAGGCCTTATTAAAGATATTTGACGGTTATATTTACGTATTCTAAAGAAAGTTCAGTAAAACTTTATTATAGATGAATGATCATCTTTAATATTGTTTTTACTGTCAAAATTTTCTTATTTCTTCCTTACAAATTTTATACCATAATGGAGGAGGAGTGTGTACCTATTGTTTATCTTTTTTTATCAAAGTCTATGGTGAGACTACAATTTATGAACGAACCAATCAAATGTAAGATAGCGGGTCTTGGATTTTGGCACAAAATTCATTCATTCATACGTCTAAATAGCATTACAGTTAACGCCACTTTGTGACGAAAACCCTAACTCTAGTTCGTAACACTAATATCTAACTCTAAATCCAAATTCTGATTTCTCACACTAATCTATTATCCTCTGTAGACCTTAGTAGGTGGGTGAATTTCCTCAACGCCACGTTGGAGCGGCTCAAAGGTCGTCCATAAATTATAATAGTTCTTGCATCTACTAGCATAGTGAGGAAACCTGATCATCTTGTTTCCGTAGATTCGAACCTCATCACACATAATTCAGTTGGAACACCTGAGTAGTATCACTATGCTCCTTACATAGTATGTATCACCAACTCGGATGAATACTCTTATACTTGGAAAGTGACCTACAGCGTAATCGGTTTTTGTATCTGACTGACTGTGCTTTTACAGTCATCTTTATTTTCTAAATCTAAATTGAACTGTCATGATAATATACGGGCCCGACACCCGGCTGCTCTTCTTTTTTCATAATCCCATTTCATTATCAAATTGTTTTGTGTTGTGACTTTATGTCCGGCTTTTTATCACGTGACTTATCCACCAATCAAAATACGACTTATACAATCTTAGCACTGTGCCAAACTAATGACATTTGACCGGTATGGACAACCTAGCGTCCTTATTGGTCCTATGTCCGCCTAGCCCATCCACTTGAGTCCAGAACATCAATACCAGCTTCCGCTATGCGAATCGAATAATTTATTTCAGACATACTGGGTTTATATGTCAATCAAATAGATCGCAACGCACCATTAAGTAGGAAATAACATTTGTACACAATAAAGCCAAAAAGTGGCTATGAACGTGGGAGGCAGTAGTCAATAAACTGAACCTAGCTTAAGAACAGTGAATCGTACGATAATAAATTATAGGTCAAAATAATAAGAGGAATATAAATACACATAATCTAATTATTGAATAGTTATACCATAAGAATGTATAGATAATATTAGTCAATTAATGTCTCGGAAGTTACTCGTGATTTAATCTTCGCTCGGATATAACATTTTGAGTTTATTTTGCTGTCAGAGTCCTGGATGATATATGAATAGATAGCTATAAATGAACCTTGGTAGGGTCGTTTCATTAGTTCATTATTGGTCAAGTACCTATGTTGAAAATATTTGGTAATATTCAAAATCTTATAGCTAACAAAACGAACTCATCTTTCATAAAACTTCTGACCAGTTTTGTGTCTTCTTTAAGCTTAAACTAACCGAAATGTCGACCATTGAGTTAGGTATTGAGGGCAGAGGTTTATGCAACCTGAACTTTCTTAAAGCTCTAGAAAAGTCACCAAAAATTTCAGTACTTTAAATAATATGTTGATCTCCCTCTAACGTTCATACACTAGAATGATTATTATGAAATGGCTTAAGTGGTTTCTTACTGATAATAAATAGATGGATGGAGGTGGGGAGAGGAAGTGAAAATTGTCGATTTTCCTACTTTCACATCTGACTAGAGTTAAGCAATAATAGAAAGCTAAGTAATTTGCTTTGAATAATTCTTCAAACTCGATTGGGAAATTCGTAGCTTATATTTTGCCTTCGTTTGTTACACTAAAGTGTTTTTTTTTGTGTGTTATTGTAACATTTTTGATATTTTAAAAAAATACTCCTAATGAGATATTGAAAAAGTAAAAATTGAGTGAATTACTGTTGCTTCTCATCTACATCCTCATCATAGCACTACACTAATATACAGTTTTCATAGTTTTATTCGTCTCAAACTATTCTCAGTTGGGTTACCATTGAAAACCAGGGATCAATAAAATGCTGTTTCGTCCTGGTATGAAACTCAGTTGTGTGTATACACGATCTCAACTATATTTCAATCTTGATACCTCTGAACTCTAATGCTTGGGAGTTTCATACTAAGATGAAGTCTCCCAAGTGTCCCACGGTTTATGATCATCCCTTAACAGAGGTCATTGTTTGACGAATACAACCTACAAATTAAATCATTCTTCACACAACCCTTTCAACTGAAACAGTTAATATCTAAATTTACTGTGATCGATAGTAAAAGTAATAATAGTGAGTTAACAATAAGTTGAATAAGAATTCCTTTATTCAATTTGTTATTTATTGAAACAGTCATATAGGCATAAAAATGTGAAACATGTTTGTACATTTAGGACGTGGGTGATGGCCAAGATAAAAAAAAGAAATCGTACAGACCTATATTGAAGACAAAGATTAGTTTTTTTATACGTTGGAGTTTCTGTAGCTCCCGCTATAACCAGGATTGGACACAAGGCAAGCAAGTAACTCCTAATCATAAAGTTCGGATTTATGAACCCTTCATACATTAATATACGGTAAAATCGTGACTACACAGCAACACAGTTAAAAGATTTCGTTATAGTTATAACTATGCAATAAGTGGAAAAAACTAAATGACAGGTCCGTAATAAATTAACAATAACTTGTGTTAGTAAAACACACAATAATAGTTTAAGTATTTATGAATTATACAGTACAATATAAACAATAATTCTACTTATGACCGTTCCGGAAGTTCAACTCTCCTTAATATTTATTCCGACATAGGAGAAAGCTTCCATAGCTACTTTTGGTTTATCGATTTGATGGTCAGTAATAAGCACTAGACATATAAGGACAAAATTTTGTAAATTCCCTTTTCTAATCCCTAACTCAAACATGAAATATAATATTTTTTTCGATAAATACTCTGGGTCTCCCCAACAATCTTCCAATACCATTGGTTGGTAACGGCCTCACATCTGACTGGATTGAACTCCAATAGTCACCCCTTCTCACTATAACTCTGGGAATTAACTCTCATTAGTGATCATGTGATTATTATTATTATTATTATTATTATTATTATTATTATTATTATTATTATTATTATTCGAAATAATCATGCATTAATTTTCATAACATAAAGTATCTACGTTAATTATCATTTTATTCTGTATAACATTGCATATGACATTGAATGCAGTTTTTATTAGTCTTTATTCTATTCTATACTATTGTTCATAGTAGTGTTCAACTATCCGAAGAAATGAAGAACATTCTTTCTACATTTCCACTGCCTATAAAAGATATGCAAATTAATTGGAAAGATATGCCAAACGATGTAGATGAAATCGATGATAATCGTAATGATAACAATGAAGCTTTTGCTAATAACAATGATAATAATAGTTCACAAAAACAAATTATAAATTCATATAATGATGATGACGAAAATGATGAGCATAATAAAAAAGTCATTTTACACTTACTTTCTCAATTAAAAATTGGTATGGAATTAACTAAGGTGAGAAATGGATATATTGTAATTTGATTAGTTATTATATTTCTTTATCTGTCTATCTATTACTTGAGCATATTTGTTGATTGGTTAGCAAGAGAATCTAGGATTTGCATCTCGTCCTGTTAGGGACACATCAGCTGTATATATACCTGGGCATCCCAGTGTTGATACCTACACTGGCTGTCATTACAAGCTTAAAATATCAAATTTGAGAAATTAAAGACCTTTACTTATTATCTACTGACTGTGTTTTCTTCATTTAATCTCTATCGGTTTTTGAAATATTCCAACGTATACTATGATTCGTTCATTTGTTAGTTGTATGATTATTTCATATCGATATCAAAATAGATCAAAGTAGACACTTGAAATACCAAAAGTAATTTGCCTAGTGTTCCAGACTGTTCTTTATTAACTTGAAACTGTGTGTTGTTGTTTTAAAAAATATCTATGATGGTAATTATTATGATGCTTTTAATTGACAGTTACTATTAGGTGCGCATATTTTTGAAGCTTCACATAATGGGTTTGCCAGTAATAATTCATTCAATAACTCATCACTTAACTCAGTAGAAATTGTATCTGGCTGTTTACTTTATTGAATATAGATGTCATGTTGTAACATCTTCTGATTCAGATGTGTTTTTCTTTAAAAAAAATCAATTATGTTTTGACGTTTCATGTGCACTTGTGTTTGCGTGTACGTATATGAGTGTTTTCTGCCGCCAATTCGAACTACTTCAGAGAATTTTTACAGATGAAATGGTTGACACGTTTTTTCACTTGTCAAATACTGTGTTATGTTTGATGACTGACAACTCGAGATGGATTGATAAGTATCAGTGGTGGGATTATAATCTATGGACGACCTTTGAGCAATGGTTAAGTGACCTTGTAAATGTCCATCTACTTACTAAAGTTAAATGAGAATTAAAAATTGGAGTGAGGAACTAAGTTTTGGGTTGACAGTTGGACGTTAGATTTAGAAATAAAGATTAAAATTTTCATCACGAATTGACATCAGGTATAATCCCAAGATGCTACTTAGTGATTTGGTTGAATGAATTTCACGTCAAAGATTTTCTATCTTAGATTTGATTAGTCCATCCATAAATTATAGTCTTGCCAAAATAATAATCAAAATGACTAATTAACAATAATGATGAGTTTTAACTGTATAGAGGCAGATCTCTAATATTGTTAGACGTATAAGGCCGGTTGCCACTACTCAATTACCCACACCATGAAACAACACTTTTTCTCAAAAATATAGAAAAGAAACTGGGTTTAAGGATGATTTTGACAACTTAGCAGCGTTACAGCGGAGAATAACTTAAGGAACAAGACCTTTCTGTGGGTATCTCTTGGCATTTTACTTCGATGCTTTTAGTTCTCTGCCACTAACGATAAGAATTCACGGCGCAAGATGTGGTGTGCTATTTTTGGTATCGAGATTTACTAACCCTCTCGTTTTATTGTAAAAGAGGGAATGATGGTTGTCTGATGGAAATATCATCTTACCGTCACGCCCTGGTGCAGTCAACAGTACGATTTCACCCGCGAACCACTAATTTTGTGCTTCTCCAACCAATCCGCCTAATACGATTGGACCTAAATAGAAAAGTACTCCAACTAATATATTTCACTTGGGTCATCACACTATGCAAGCCCAACAACCATATAAAGGTATAACAGCTACGCCCGGGGGTAAAATAGTAGTATAACAGTAAAAAGAATAATAATAAAAGCCAAATAAAATTAATGTTTTTATGAAATGAAAAGTATGTTCTGCAACGTTATATTTCAGATTTGAATGAAGATAAAACATAAATGTATATGTATCATGAGGATCGATTATTTGAAGCATGTCATATAACTGCCCTAGTCGTGAATTACAGTTATCTCATGGACATCTAATAGAAAGTGTACATGACTCAATGACTTAATGAATTGATCCACTAGTTTGTTTTGACCTTCGTTTAACAATTTTTAAGCCTCACAATACGCTAAACAGCATAACATCGCGGTTACATGGTGAACATAACTGGATAATGATGATTCACAACATCTTTATCCAATGTTTCACTTTTAAAAAAGTACGCTGAGACTAATATCGACATTGTAAGTATAAATGACCTTAACTAAACAAAATTAGTATTTTTAAGGTAGTCTAGTTTAATTTTGACGATATTGATGTGTTTTAATAGAAAACCAATAATTGTGAAAGTTTTTGAATAGAAAGTTGTTCAAACGGTTGTTTATTTATAGTATAAATATATGAATGTTTAAGAATCCGATATTATTAGTAGTATGGTTTATGTAATACTTGTGCACAAACTTAATTAGCTGAGTAAGTAAAGTTCAGATAAGAAGCAAAAAAGTAGAAATTCTAATTCAGCTCGTGGAAAAAGTAAAAGTCATGTGATAAACTGATGAGTATAAAGTTACCATAGCAAAAAATATTGATAACTCAGTCATATTTATTTTATGGCAACAGTTTCAACTTTTTATCGTCTTCATGTACTCTTCATTACAAACTGGCTACAATAAAATCTATTTACTAAATTAATTTTTGTATATGTATTGTTCCTAGGACAATCAATCATTATTCAATGATCGTTTGATTCATCACTATGTATTGTATAAAATGTATATTTCTGTTATTATATACTTCCTTCTTTCTATGTAGGTAGTTTTCCCTACGTTTATTTTGGCGGAATATTCTTTGCTAGAAATGTTTGCTAATTATATGGCCCATCCGAATTTGTTTTGCAGGTATATATGTGCAGATCTCCTTTTCATTGAACATTATCGAAATAATTATATATGCCAGATTTTTAAATATGATTGATTTAATCAGTGAGGTCATTTCAGGCTATGTGTTCACTCTCTGTCGCTTATTTATTATAAAATCCCAACTAGTAGTATCTATTCGAATATATGAATATTTACTTCTATTTTAGATAACTCACAATCAGTCAGTCAGTAACAACGTAGAACTTCGAACGTACGTACATCAGTTCGAGTTACCACACCACATTAGCACAGAGATGCACTTGTCCATTCAAATCCCGTAGTGGTAGAGGTAGCAAGAGTATAAGCAGTAATCGGGAAGATTAGGGTTTGGAGATGTTATTTAAAGAGTATAATCCAGTGAAATAAATTTGGAAAGAGGAAAAAAGGGACATGAAGAATTCAGAAGATTAGAATTCGGGAGAACACAGAGAGTGGATGCACCTGCGCCATTGCAAACGATTTTGAGCCATGTAATTCAGGGTCTCTAACCATCGGTTGCTATCATCTCGCGGTCCCCAACCAGGTAGTCTACACCTACCAACATGACTTCATGGACTTGTGCCATGTTTTGGTTTGGCCGCCTCTAGCTTTCTTCCAACCTACTCCTATACCACTGAACATAGCACGTCGAGGCAGTCGGTCGTTGGGCATACGTAACACGTGTCCCAGCCATCTCAACTGATGAAGTTTCACCACTTCATCAATCGACTTGCCATCCTTACCTAGTACCCGTTTCCTAACAACTGCATTACTTACTCGATGGTCCCAGGATATACGAACAATGTTTCGAAGACACCTATGATCAAATACTAGTAACCTACGGATATTCTCTACTCTTACTGGCCATGTTTCACTGCCATAGAGTAGGACGGAACGAACTGCTGCGCAGTAAACACGTTCTTTGGTTGATAGACGGATATCTGGCCTACGTAATAAACGACGCAGGTTGGCAAAAGCTAGTCGAGCCTTCTGTATCTGTGCTGAGATTTCGTCACACACCAGACCACAAGGGCTGATGAGACTTCCAAGATGAGTGAAGCGGTCGGCACACTCAACTACTTCACTCCCTATCACTAGTTCGGGTGTCGATGTAACCCAATCCTGAAGCAACATTTTGCATTTCGAGGGAGAGAATCGCATCCCGAACATGCTTGCATTGTTGCTTAAAGTGGTCAGAAGACTCTTCATTTTGTCAGCGTCTTCACCAAATAAAACTATGTCATCAACATATTCTAAGTCAACAAGTGAACCTCCCGGTAGAAGTTCAATCCCTGGAAATCTAGATGAAGAGAGTGTTATCTCTAAAAGTACATCAATGACAAAATTGAAGAATGGGGAGAGTGGACAGCCCTGACGAACACCACTTGAGGTAATCAATTCTGATAATAATTCGCCATAAGCTCTCACTCTACCAGTTGTATTCGAGTAGAGAGCTTTTATAAGGTTAATGTACTTCTTTCAGTGACAAACACTGCCATAGAACCTCACGATCAACAGAGTCGAATGCCGCCTTAAGGTCGAGAAATACTACCATTTTGGGGCGTCTGAATGTGTGTCTGTGTTCTAGAACCTGACGTAGTGTAAATATCTGATCTATACAACCACGTCCAGGTCGAAAACCTGCTCTTCACGAGCTTTGGTTAGGCGTCGAAGTATTATTGAAGCTAACATTTCAGACACTATATTAGTCAAACTGATTCCTCTGTGATTGTCACAATAGAGCTTTTGTCCTTTCTTATAGAGTGGCACAATCAGTGGTTGAGACCAGTCAGATGGGATTACGTCCAGTTCCCAAATCCTACCTAAGTCCTCGGTTAATCTCACTGCTAATACTGGACCACCATCCTTAAAAATCTCAGGAGTAAACCTGTCAGGGCCTGGTGCTCTCCCTCGCTTCAGATTTCTTATGGCTTTTTCAACTTCGTAAAGGGACGGAGAACCTAAATTAACTTGCCATTCAGGTTGACTAGAGATCGTGGGAAACCGAAGTGTAGCTGAAGGTCAGTTGAACTGATCCCTAAAGTGTTCTACCCATCGATCCAATCTCCTGGATTGAGAATGAATAATATGTCCATCTTTTTCTGAAATTGTTTCGCTAACGGTCGGTTTCCTAACTCACAATACATACTGAGTTCAGCAAGGTAACCACTGTAAACCAGGTATCATTGAAAAGCTGTATTTACTTTTATGTTTAGGCTTCTACAACAGTGTACACCAAAAAAGACCACATCTGGGATTGAAACTAAAATCTTCAGATACCACTAGTTTCTCTTGTGCAACTGTTATTTACAGACGTTCTGGATTTACTCTTCAAATGACCTTAAGAAGTTCTTACCCATTTATTAGTCAGTCAAAATACAACTAGTATGAATAAATAATGGATTACATGTAATGGCAAAAATTAGAATGGGTCTAAAATTTTACACGATGAAAAAACTTGGAAAGGACTGAAGTGGAATTAGAGATTGAGTTGGAATGAATGCCTATACATTCAGTTCTTTGATTTTAAATCTCACGGATGTTCAATTTACTTTGGAAAGTTCATTAGCTAGGATAAACATATCATAAACATTTTGATTGGATTTGTTTTCTATTACAACTAACTATTAGTGGCTTCTTCACTCTTAACTGGTTAAAAGCTATCCATTCCCTTTATATTCAACTTCGAACAAAAATCTAAAAGCTACCATCTTCAATCCAATTATTTCCGTAGTATAGTATAGTTCTGTCAGCCATGTTTTCAACTGCAATCAATTCGTGATGCTGTGTGTTCACCATCCACTGCCATTGGGTATAATCCCTGTTTCAATCTTCTCGCAACAAGACGTAATCCCACTAGTCACAAGCATAAAATAGGTACGTACGTATTTCTATAAGTTAAAAATATAAGGAGATCGAAAACGCCCTGGATCATATTTTTCATACTGAAGTTCCTAGGATACTATTTCATGAAAGAAATTCATTTTTCACAATGTTTATTCTAAGTTAAGAATAAATATCAAGCTCTAGTGTATATGGTTGTTTTTTTGAATCCGTTAGTATTGTGGTGTGGGTTACTTATATCCATATAGGTAGTATATAACGTTGGTCAGGCATAGGATGTATCTCATCAGAAGATCGATAAGGAAAGAACGGAACCGGAATGCAATTGGTATGAAAATCCATGAACAGTCAAATCTGAGACAACTAATATTTGCAAAGGAACAGTGAAGTTTGAGACGATGGATTGATATTTTGCAAATTAACGATTTACAATATGGTTCTCAGATTTTATCGAGGTGCTCTGTAATTTCGTGTCAAATACATCTGGATGTCCCCCACTCGTGTTCTTGTTCACTACATTTGGTGTCGCTGCCAACCAGGAGGGGGAAGGGTGCTGTTCTGTGCACGCCGTTGCGAGCCCTGAGTTGAGGTGCCGGTTGGGACAGTCTGGTGCGGAGAGGTGGCGTTGGCTGTGGCAGGTGCTGTCGACTGAGAGGAGCGGTCTGACGTGCGGTTGCTGGGCGGACATCGGATGTAGATGGCTCAGCAGGTCGGTGGGGCACAGGTGTTAAACGTCCTAGGTCCTGGGTGCATGTCGGATGTTGGTGCCCCGGCAGGTCGACGGAGCTATCAAGGTCAGCGCGCCACAGACTCGACATTTTGACGGAGGGCGTAGCACAGACTGCGTAAAAGAAGAATGTAGCACGGCGGGCATGAACCAACGCTAGAATGAATGCTTTAAAGGGGGGACGAGTGTGGTGTGCTACTTATGTCGACATAAGTAGTATATGACGTTAGGAACAGAAAATCTGGCAGCAGAAAGACAAGAAAATCGAACAGTAAAAAATAGAAACAGAATGCAATTTGTATGAAAATGCAAGAACAATGAAGTCTGAGTCATTTTGATACAACTGATGGTCATTTTACAAATTGAGCATTTACTATATGGTTGTTAGATTTTATTAACTAATTCTGTAATTTCCTGTCAAATACATTTGATTGTCTCCATTAGTGTTCTTGTTCACTAAGGTATCGTATCTGTTATTCAAATTAGATTTATTTCGTACAACTATCCAGTTACAAGTAGTATTATTTCAGGGAATTACGATTTCCTCATTCCACTTCTCTGACATTTGCCTTAGTAATTACATATCACTGTACCAATATGTCGTGGTAATTTGAACTGATGACATATATGACAGATTTTAGCTTGGGCATGACTGACTGACTGATCAGCTAATTTCTTCTCTCATCATCTGAGAAGAAAAACACCTCTCTTTACTTGTCTCTGTTTCACCTTTGTTAATTTTTGCATTTTATATATTTTGATGTTCATTCATATATCTGTTAATTTCTTCTTAATTTCAATCAATAAGTTGGTCATTTTTACGTTGCATTGCTCTGCATATACATCTAAGCTGCAATAATCTAGATTATTAATAGTGTCATATTCTATATGAGCATGAATTCACGCTATACATTAATTAATTATTAGTCTTTTTTATTCTGTTGTTTCATTACATATTCATACTTTGACTCTTCCATACCCCTTTATTATGTTTATAATGAAGTTGATATTTATGATTCAAAATATTTTTGATCTAATTTAACAGGAAAATAAATTAGTTGGATATCATATAGTTTAATTCATAAATTCAACTCAGTATATTGTAGATTTCCTCTTTATTTCGACGTCCAGAAGATAAAATTCAAATTCCATGTAATATAACTTGTTCCTTTTACTACATTCAAATGTACCATCCTCATATGTAGTAGTGCTGTGAAATATAACAAAATCCATTCTAAACAAGATGTTTAATGTATATACTACATTAGGTGATTTTATAAATTGCACACTATAGAAAGATTATCGATCTAATATTCAATAGATGATTGTTTTCACGAATCATTTCAATTAAACTCTAAAAAAAAGTAGATTTGTGAGGTTTTATTATTCTGTTAACTCTTTCAGATTACTAGTGTATAAATAAATATCATTTATAATGAATTTACTATTTCTCTATTATATATGTTTATTTTATTTTATAGCATTACTGATTATGTAGATCCTGAATGGCGTATGATAGCATTTGTTCAATGGTATCTTACTACATTTCATTCTGGACATCTGGTTTGTTCATATTTTATTTGTATATATATAAAAATTTTCTTTGTTATTTAAACAAATATAATTTTATCAGAATGGGTTGTGTGGAGATTTATAGACATTCCACTGGTTGAAATCATGAGTCAATTGAAGCTAGACCACCATGGAAAACCTGGAAGCACTGGACGGCCGTCTCATCCTAGTATGGGACTCCTCAGCAGTGCGCATCCACGATCCCGCACCCCGCGATATTCGAACCCATGACCTATCAGTCTCGCGCCAAGCGCTTAACCAACCAGACCACTGAGCCAGCCGGCATCCAACGGTGTTAATGTCTAACTTCAACTAATCCACGAAGTTGCGCCACCGTACACCAAGTTGAACTCCACTGGTAACGAATTCTCACTAGAACTCCAGGAGTGTCTCCTGAAGCCAGTCACTAGTGAGCAGGTGATTATTATTATTATCAGAATGGTCTGTTGTGAGATAGGAACTCACTGAAGGCAATGGTGTACGGCCCTGAATTCCATTGCCACTATCCATCTTTGCTTAAAATGATATTTTTTCTCTTTAAAGGATACAATTGCCAAAAAACCATATAATCCTATTATTGGTGAGACGTTTCATTGTAGTTGGATTGTACCACCAGATCAACTAAACAGTGAATCATGTTTATCAGAAATAAATAAAGATACGTGTAAAATGTCCACCACCACAAAAAACAACTACAATGTACCCATAGTTATAAGATATTGTGCTGAACAAGTTTCTCATCATCCATCTGTTACTGCCTTTCAATTTTCTTGTCCTATCAAACAAATGAAATTGACTGGTTCATTGTGTACTCAGTCTAAATTCCAAGGCATGAGTGTTTGTGCAGCAATGTTAGGCAAATGTAAGTGTACATTTTAACATTGATAATGTTTATTTTAAATATTATTTATTTATTCTTATCAAGTATATTTCTGAAGGATAAACAGTTCAAACACTTTAATTTCAACTTGATGTGGAGGGCCACTTAGAAGTAGTCTGATGAAAAGGTCAATCGATGGCAATCAGAAGTGACTGAAAGGACAGATGCATTTCATTAGCTAATAAATGGATCAATATATATATATATATATATATATATATATATATATATATATATATATATATATATATATATATGAGTATTTGTACATTTTATTCAGCAGTCCAATACACTTTCTCATTCACTCTTGTGTTCTCGCTTAAGTAGTCAGCTGAGGGAATTAGCGCGTAGCACACCGTGTACCAATATCAGATTTTGGACACCACCCGTCACAACACAACCAAATAGTAATGATCATGAATTTGAAGTGCTTACACCTATCTTATCTAATAAATATCTCTCATTAGTATCATTAGTGGTGCATAAGCAATAAGAGTACTCCTGCTTGTCATGTTCTATATTAAGCATTTCTAAAATGAGGCGATAAAATATATTTTTGTAAGTTACCAATATATAAATCTTTTTGTACCATTCGTTTGTACCTTCATTTTGTCAAATGTTTGTGTGTTCAAAGCTGTTTTAGTGTTTTGAAAAACAAACACTACAAGTTAGATAATAATTCTAAACGTCATTAATCAAAATTGTTTTTCATTTATCATAATGCTGTATGATTTTACACTCTTATACTACAATCAGTCATAGGTAACGTAGGATTTACCACTGGTGTCCATCTGTTCAAGTTTCCATACCTCATCGGCTCAGTGAAATGAAATTATCAAGACGAATTCCATATTAGTAGAAGTGGTTATAGTATCAGTGATAGTAGAAAAAGTGAAGCTTAGAAAATATGATTCGAGAAGGAAGAATAAATTCAACAAATAGCAAGCATAATGCAATTTCGAAATTCAAGATTTATAGGAAGACAGAAGAGTGAGTGCATCTACCCGATTGCGAGCAGTTTACGATACTGTTATGGACTCCAAAATTGATGGTTAGCACTTATCTGCATGCCTCTATCCAGGAAAGGGGAGTGTACTTATAAAAAATAAGTGAATAAGTATAATATAAATAAGGAGATAGAGTTCACTTATAAATGCATTCAAGAAAGAGTTGTTTTTGTTTCATTTTTCTGAAAAATGTAATAGAAGATTACAATAAGATTGTCACTAACTGCTATTATGACCCATGTTTGATGCTATCTCAAGCCATTAAGTTGTATTATTTTCAGGACCTTAACCAAAGGAGTCTTGATGAATCGACCTATATCAATTTTTGACAGCTTCTGTTGATACATTAACACGATCTCGTAAAATGGCCTCTACTCCACTTTTCACAATCCCAGTCACAACCTCATGGAATGATGCATGATTTAAAGATTGGTATAACAAAATAATTTTCTTTGAAGTTGTTTTTTGAAATTTTTATTATTAACTCATCTACTTAGTACACATTCGTGTACTTGGCTTTGGGTCTAACTGTAAATGTGTAGGATAGTGATACTACTCGATTAACCAAACACTAAGTTACATGAAGTGGGGTCCAACTTAGCGATTGCTTTAATGTGTATTCTAACACATAAGTGATATATTTACCCTCAACCTTCACTTCCTTATATATTGTTAGAAAATACAATAAATTCAAATGATTTCCATGTCTTTCTTTGTATGTTCTCCCAGATTAGTTTGAAAATCCCGTTATGTGCTAGTTTTGTTGTACAGTTCTTTTGCCTACGGAAATGTTCTCGCATTGTTTTAAAATACTTAACATTAACTGTTATCTAACACTTCCCTACTAAACCTGGTCCAACATTGTAGTTGACTGACTGGCTGAAGCCTGGTACTATACGTCAAAATCCTTGATGATATTTTTCCTAACCATGCATAGTAGATCGATTGTTTTTCTGCATCTACAAGTTACCTTTGTTTTTCATATTTATTTATGTTTATACATGTATATACTGTGCCTTATTTCACTGCACACAACGACGTTACACCCAATGTTTATCTTCTTGATGTAATTGATATTCTATAGTAATATTGAAACTTGGTGAGCATAATGACGAAGAGTATCACTTTTCCCTGCCTACGGTGTACGCTAGATCAATTTTAACAGTACCTTGGGTTGAATTCGGTGATAAAGTCTCTGTCACATGCCCTCAAACTGGCTATTCAGCTGTTATCACATTTTTAACTAAGGTAAGATGGCTATGCAAGTCAGCTGGTGTTTTTTTTGTTTGTTTGTAAACAATCGATATACTTGTTTTGTTTATGAAAATTTGTTTACAACTTGTGAAACGTAAATTTTGTTTACTTTGCAACGTTCGTATATCTCACTATGGACAGTATAATAACAATGAAACCAATAATAATAATAATGATAAAACCGGCTCCAATCAGTACTGTTTGTTTGGTTACAGTAAGCCATTATCAGCACATATACGAAATTAAAACAAACTTTCCGTCTGATGAGCATTCAACCTGTAAATATCTGAAAAGTATATCTAGAAAGTTTTTAAACAAAGATTAGCTGTCATTCATATTCATCTGCAAGTGTCATTGATCAGTCTTTCTGCTTTTATGACATCTTTTTCCATCACTGAATATATTTGGTGTATGAATTCTGTAGAAATCGCCTCTCGTTTTGCTAAACGACAGAGCAGGGAAATACACGAACCATCGCGGAGGTGCTGCTTGAGTTTCTTAGTAATTAGATTTACAATAGGCTGTAAGCATCTTGTAAAAGTGCCAAAGTTTACATGGTTTATAGAAAAACTTATGGTGATAAATCGATGTTTGGAACTGGTGTTCCAGAAGTTTAAGCAAACCGCCATGTGTTTGTAGACTGAATTTCGACTCACTGGTTCAGTGTTTTCGTGTTCATCACAAGATATGAATGTTCTTGGTTTGATCTCATGGGCCTGGCTTTATGGATGAGCAAAACTGGAGTGTTGTGGAAATAAGTTTAAACAGTCATCCAGTTCTACATAGTTTACGATGGTTTTTCAGTCCAAAACCTGGAAGGACTGAACAATTAAATGAGATGAATCTAACATCTTTTACGCGGTAAATTGCACCAACTACGACAACCATTACAGTAGTTAAAGCATTTTCCCTAAGTATTTACACATTGATGAATATGAATTATCAATAAAACGATAAGACATGTCGTTGCGTTTACGAAACTTCAGAAGTAAAGTCTACTAGAACAACGTCGAGCATCATTAAAAGTGACTAAGTGTTTGAAAATACTTTTCAGAGAGAATAAATGAATTTAACAAATAAAAAATACCGAATAATACTGAAGAAAAATATAGAGAACACAGGGAAGATAATGTTCTTTGCAACGATTTCATTAACTGAAACTGTACATTTGTATTTATAGTCAATTCGTTTGCTAAAAAAATAGTAGTCTATAGTAACAAAGAATGGTGTTGAATAATTAGGGGAAAATTGGAACGGTATCGTGTCACGTAAATTGTCTACAAAAGTCAGGTATTGAAACGACGTTTTGTAGTAATCTAACAGTTAATAAAAAATGTCAATATGAAGATAATTGTTCACTTGATAAATATTGAAAACAGAACCACTAAAAGTGGTAATAATGATTAATAATTAAAAGCTTTAATAGTTGAATTCATGAGTTGATTTAAGCTAGATGACCATTGAAAACCTGGAGGCACTGGATGGTCGTTTCGTCCTAGTATGGGACTCCTCAGTAGCTCAAATCAATTAGTGAATTAAACTAACAAAATGACTACAATCTCCACAAACCCCCATTCTGATGATAATTAATAGTTATGCAGAATAATTGGAAAGGATTGAGAAAAAAGCCAATAGATAATGAAAGATAAAAAAAGATGGTATGATGAATTTAACACTCTATAGTTTATACATAAAGGTCAGGTTTGAATTGGTGATTAGCTATAATTATAATCAATTCAAACCATTATTAGAATTTTAAATTAATCTGTTCTCAATTTCTTTTATTAGGTGGATAATTATCTTAAAATTGGTATTCTTCATTATTCGCTTAGGCTATTATATAGTTTCTTTTCAATATCTGACACCATTTTATTAATAAAGACTACTATTTTTAGCAAATAAATACAATTGTACAGCTTGAGCTAATGAAATCTTCAAAAAGTTAAACGTTTCGTCAATAAGTTATCTCTGTTCTTCTTCAATGACAGAATAGATCTTTTATTTTTATTTGAAAATAATATTGAAGCTGAAGACTTAGCAGAAAATAAAGAGTGAATGGATCTTCTCTATTGCTATGAATGATTTCGTACTATATTCACACATTCAAAGTATGATCAAAATACTACACTATTATCTGTTCTGTAGAATATAGTATGGTAATAAAAGTATAGTATTTTCTAATTAAAATTAAGCCTATTAATGAAACCTTAGTTCTTAGTTAGCACTAATTCATTTTTGTATACTATTATTTTGACAAACAATAGCCACATTATGAAGATAAACTACATTGTATCACTGGAGAAATTTACAATACACACAGTATTTCTCCAACTTCATCTGATCGTTCAGCCAAAGGGCCTGGGTCATCACCATTAAGTTCAGTTAGAAATAGCAATCATTTAATTGCACGTATTTCTGGTGAATGGAATAATATTATCAATTTTGAAGTTTTTAATAAGGTAAAATTAAAGTTAGTGGTTTCTAACGCTTTTTTGCTTGATTGTTTATTATCATTATTACCGCTTACTTTCTACACTCAACTAACCTACCTCTACGAAGAAAGCAAACAATGAATATGTAAGAAATTGAAGCCGAATGAGCTGCTTACATTTGACGTGGTTTTTTTATAACTGGTCAAACTGACACTTACAAGAACATGTTTGCAATGATCTTGACTGGGTGAATAATTCACTAACTATGGTTCCTCCATACATGCATATCACCTACCATGTATAACTGCGTCTTTTTGTGATCTATTCAGTTCCACTCTATCTGTTAATTCAAAGACGTACAAGGACCGTATATATTTATAATATATGATATATTACTTTAGAGGGTTATATCATTTTAATTTTCTAATCGAATCCTGTTTTAAGCGAAGCAAGTAATACTACTAATGATTAGTACAATGAGTTTACGATTCATCAGCGTGAAATACATTTTGCTACGTAATATATTTACAAATTATTTAATTGAACAGTATAACTGTTCTAATGATTTCTATCATAAGAATACCCTGGTACGGCCGAGAGTGGGGAGAGTCATCTCCCCTTCTGGAAATGCTCTCACATGGCCACGTGCATACAACCAGTGTCAGGGAAGTCCTACTCACTGCCTTCTCGTGGTGCGGGTGCTGTTTACAAAACTGAGAGAACGAAAAGTGAATGTCCGGCGCTTTAACCAGATCAGTGGACACGGAGAGTCCACCTAGGGTAGTTGGAAAACTCTGATTCCAAACCAATGGTGTACATGGGTTTCAGGATCCTAAGAAAATCAATGGCGTATGAACCTATTGTTGGTCACTGGTTACCATGGGATTGAATCTCCTCACGTTGCTTCACTGTCTTGTGGGTCAGACCTTTACGTCGAAGGCTCATGGGGTGGCCCCCTAAGAGAATCACCTGCTTCGGTTTGGGCACCCAGGCAGTATGTCGACCCTCACATAAACAGAATGATTTATGTGACGCATATGTATTTGGTGCTTGTACCAATGTTTATGTGTTTAAATAAAAAAGTTATTTCTAGCTACAAAATATGGAATATTCCACATCATTTATTCATGACAAACATCTTCATTCAACTAGAACAATGGTAGATTAATGTTTTAATCACAAAAAAGATAATTTAAATAATTCCATTTGAAAAATACTTGTGAATTAGGTCATTTGCTAAGTTCATTCTAGTGTGTGTGTGTGTGTGTGAGAGAGAGAGAGAGAGAGTTTTGTTCTAACATATCCGTTTTCATTTAAACAGTAGAACTGTTTAGTGTAACTATAATTTTTATTTTCACAATATTTTTTCTTTTTTTAAAAACAAAACTGTTTAATTCTACTACTGAATTTATTACTGAATTGTTTATCTTTTCTTTTTAGAATTTAAATAAATGGTCACTGAATGTCAATCAATTGCCTGTTTTCTCAAAACATATACGTCCTATTGAATATCAACAACCAGAAGAATCTCGTCGTTTATGGCAAAATGTTACTAAAGCTTTACAATTAAAAAATTTTAATTTGGCTACAGAGAAAAAACAAGAAGTATGTTTAGTTATTGTTTAGTCTTTAATTCTATGCTCAATTCATTGTCTAGTCTCTTTTTTTTAATTACTTTAAACCAACTAATATGCATTAATGTTTCTATGTCATCTAATTTATACAGTCAATTAATTTCTGTAATAATATCAGTCTGAGACAAATAGTATCAATGTTAGTGGATAACAGTTGCATAATTTTGCAAATCATCTAAAGTTAATATTGTAATTTGTTGGATACCAACTCAGTGATCTAAAGGATAAGCGCTTTATGCTAGACCTGAAGATCATGAGTTGTATTGTTCACGAGCTCATATTTTTGCACTTCGAAATTGTCCCATATGTGAACGAAACAGTTGTTTAGAGCTTCTTAAATCTCAAGAGTTTTCTAACGAAACTCAATCTATGATATAAAACTTCAAACAGTTATTAAGCTAGCGGAAACGCTACTATGTTTAATTTTAAAAGTTATTCAATACCCATGATATATGTTAAATTTATCTTAAATAACTGAATTCGTTGTATTTCTATCCAACAGATTATCTATAAAGAGTAGTAAAATCATATGATTGAATCTGTAGTAAAAAGTTTAGTTTGCATCATTTCGTATAATTCTATTTTATTGTTTCTGTTGCTATAAATAAATTACCACCCTCGTATTTTTAAAATGATTTCTTTGTGTGATGTTACGAATCATAATTGATAATCATATTTGTTTATAACTAAATAAGGGATTGATTGTTTTCGTGCTTGATAATAAATCCCATTTGATCAAACAAATACTGAGCAAATAGTTATTTTTACTTTATTAAGTCGTTGATGGTGGTCAGCAAGGAAACCCTTAGACCTAAGTCTCGTACTAGTAGAAATAATGTAAGTTGAAAACTGGAGCGTTTAACAAAATAAGAAATGATATAATCGATGAATTAAAATTATTCTCTCCTTTTCACTATAGTTTATTATACTCAGTCAGTCAGTCGTCTACAGTGTAGAACCAGGCACATATATGCATCAAGCCAAGTTGTCATACCTCATTAGCACAACAAGATGAACACCAAATTCATAGAAGTAGTTACTTCAATGGTAGTAAAAAAAGATTTTATTTAGGGATGTGCTATAGGGAGAAAAATAGGTATAAAGTAATTTTTATCTCACCGTTTAGGGGAAGACGAAGAGTCTATACACCTACGCGATTGGGATCGATTCTGAGTCATGTCACCCAGAGTCTCCAACCATTGGTTACGATATTCGCACGGACTCCAACCAAGTAGTATGCATCTATCAGTATGGCTCAGATCAGTGGTTAGTGACTTCAAGGACTGATGCCACGTTTTGGTTTGGCCACCCCTATCTTTCTTCGATTCTTCCCCAACACTAGTCAGCATTGCACGTCGTGGTAATTGGTGTTCGGGCATACGCAACACGTGACCCAACCATCTCAGTCGATGAAGATTCACAACCTCATCAACTAATTTACCATCATTCCCTAATACCCTGCGTCTAGCCTCACTATTACTTACCCGGTGATCCCAGCAGATGCTAGGAATATTTCTAAGGCATTTGCGGTCAAATACTAGTAGCTTATGTTTATCTTCTACTCTTAATGGCCACGTTTCGCAGCCGTAAAGTAGAACAGAACGAACTGCCGCACGGTATACTCGTCCTTTAATTGATAGACGGATATCTCGCCTTCGCCATAGGTGACGTAAGTTGGCAAAAGCCAAATGAGCTTTTTGAATCCGTGCTGAAATTTCGTCAGACACCAACCCTTTAGGGCTGATCAGACTTCCAAGTGAAGGTGTCAACGCGTTCGACTATTTCACTCCCTATCCTTAGTTCAGGTGTTGATGTAAACCAGTCCTGAAGAAGCAATTCGCATTTAGAGGGGTAGAAGTGTATCCCATACATCCTGAAGTTGTTGCTCAGTGCTACCAAAAGACTGCATTTTATCATTGTTTTCACCAAACAGGACTATGTCATCTGCGTCAATTAGTAAACTTCCTGGTAGCAGATCGATTATCGAAAACTCAATGTTTTTGACTATAATACCATTAGTAAGAATAATGATCAATAATATGCTACCGCTAGTCTAGATATTTGTTTGACATATTGTTCAGTGACTAGATCACGTTATAACAGATGCACGATTGACGAACTAGAGTTTAGACCAGACAATACTTTATTCCACACAATTACAAGCAATTCCAGTCTTACTAACAATGATATAAATGTTGTTTGATTTATTATATCATCATAGTTCATAGTCAATGAATTCACACAATCAGTCTATTCTGTTGTTGTTTTTTTTCATTATTTTGGATACATCACTCTCTAGCTTGAAGAACGACAACGTTTAAGTGAGAGCTATCGAGCATTGTATAAATTCGCTTTCCCAGTCAAATACTTCACATGGTATGAAAACTCTTGGATATTGAAAACCACTTGTAATCAATAATTTACATGGAAATAATACTAGAAAGTATTTTGCCAATATATATATACATTACTTTGTATTTCGTACCTTGATTGTTAATTATTTTTTGTTTCCCTCTTTTTCTATGTTCTGTTTCTTTTTTTTTGTGTATTTACTACTGATTTCTTTTTATCCATCCATCTAAAATATGTACACTTATTTTGATAATGAGCATCATAAGATAACTTACACCCTGTTGAATTATTCATTTAACCGTGTTCCAGTTTAGCAGCATTAATAGAGAGGATCCTTTAAATAATGCGAAATAACAATAGCAAAATTGGTCATTAGTTCAACGGTTGTTAAATATTAAAATAAAAATTAGAATCCGATATTATAGAATACAAATGGTGTTATCTGGAAGAAAATTACTCGAAATGATAATTTAAATTCGTGGTTTGTATACTACACATTTATTGATCAGGTCTATAACGATAAACTGTGTAGAGTAGTTCACTAGATCTTGTTGCAACGGTTAAATGGTAAGAGTTCCAGCCCCCATATACCCTGGTACGGTCGAGAGTGGGGAGAGTCAACTCTTCCTCCCAAAATGCTCTCACATAGCCACGCGCACACAATCTCTGTCAGGGAAGTCCTACTCACTGCCTTTTCGCGGCTGGGGTGTTGTTTATGAAATTGAGAGAATGAAGAGCGAATGTCCTACGCTTTAACTGGATTGTTGGACATATTTGATGCCTTCTTGCACCTATGTTTATGTGTTTGAATAAATAAATAAAGAGTTCCAGCTAAGTTTCGAGGTGACAATCATTCCGTAAGTATTATGTAACTAGTCATGTCTTTCAAATTTATCCCTTCATAGGTTTAGTAATGGGGATTAGTCACTTATCATGTTTAATCAATCATAGTAAAACTCAAATCCCAATCATATATAGGTATTGATCTCTATTTCGTTATTTGATAATGTGTAGATTTCATCTTCTCGATTCCTGTACGATTTACTCCAGTTCAGCACCATAAACTCAACAATTGTTTGTATTAACAATGATTAAATTAATTATTTTATTTAGCTAATAAATCCCATATAGCAACTATGTAATATTCATAGTTTGTAAAGAACAACATCCGTAATGTGTATGATTCGTTTTACTGCAATCTGGAAAGCAGTAATTATCACGAAATCGTATTCACGGTTAGCGTTTTCTTGATACTTTTTTCAATAACCAAAGAAAGTCACACATAATACATCCAAATTGGTGAAAATTAAATAGTCTCTGTAAGACAGTTGATTGGTTTTCAAAATCTTGAAGTAATTCCTAACTTACATCTTTTCATGATATACACATCCTTTTAACTTATCATACACATTAACCGCAATCGTGTAGTACCTTAACCATATCAGATATCTTGTTTTCAACAACCAAACTAATATTTTCTTTACGTCCATTTTTCATCATCTCGAAATCTTACAACAATTAAGATACTGATGGAATAGACAAGTTGTTCAGTGTTAATATTGAGTACAATGAGGTTCCATCCCACTAATTAGTAATGACACTTGACCAGTTCAATATTTTTGACTTAAATTTATATTTGTTTACCTCGTAATCTAAGTTGTCATAATAGAAGACGTAGGATTCACACATTATCTACGTAATTACATCACTATAATATAAATTTCGTGAAATAATATATCTAATTTATGGAAGAAAACTATGGACAAAATTAAAAACCAAGGATCTGGTTTTATTATGATAAAGAGAGATGAAGTTATATTTGACTGCTGCCTACTAGTTGGCGTCTGTTACATGATACTTCTCTAAACTTTGGTAGTTTTATCGGCACTTCGGTTCTGACTATACTGTTTGTAAAAATTATTATTATTATTATTAGCTTTATTCAATATTATATTTTTGGTACAATATAAACTTATCACAAATTATTTCAACAAGTTTCCGTTTCATATTTCTTGGTCGATCCTGATAATAAATAATGAGTCTTCGCCAGTAAGAAGTTGGCAGTTCAGGAATCGACATCTGAATAATGTACATTCTTCTCAATGTATATTGCCAGCGACCACAATATCTCGGATTTAGCTCATTCCTAACTTGTAAAGCGGAAGGTCGTGAACTTTTCACAAACGCACTTGAATAGGTTATGCAATTAATAGATATAATGATTTGTTGAAACAAACAAAAGAGAGATGACTGGGTGAAATATCTAGATGGCAGGAACAGGTAGCCCGGATATTTAAGCATGTCGCCTATTTTATAAATGATGTGATTAAACAGTCAAATCAATCAAAATTATTTCCTAATCAGTAATATTTCAAATTAACTGCAATGAATAAATACATATACTTATTTGTACTATCACTTCCAAATATAAACGAATATTCAGATTAGGTGGAATGTGGCTAGCAATGGAATTCGTGGCGCACGTTTCGTCCTCTTCGAGAATCGTTAGTCGAGTACCTAAATCGTACCAAAACTAAGTACCTCCCACTTCAAAAACAACGCGTTACTCATTTAGCTACCGAATTCCAGTAGATTCTCATTTATGTGACGTGTATAAATTTTTAATTAAATTTGGATTTTTCACTATTGATATTTTTAGTATAATTTGATCGGTTATCCACTTTTCATCTATTCTACATAAATTAGTGTCAAAATGACTATATCGAGGCAATCCTCATATATTTAAACTAAGGGTCAGTCAGTCAGTCAGTAACAACGTAGAACTTCGAACGTATGTACATCAGTTCGAGTTACCACACCACATTAGCACAGAGATGCACTTGTCCATTCAAATCCCGTAGTGGTAGAGGTAGCAAGAGTATAAGCAGTAATCGGGAAGATTAGGGTTTGGAGATGTTATTTAAAGAGTATAATCCAGTGAAATAAATTTGGAAAGAGGAAAAAAGGGACATGAAGAATTCAGGAGATTAGAATTTGGGAGAACACAGAGAGTGGATGCACCTACGCCATTGCAAACGATTTTGAGCCATGTCATTCAGGGTCTCTAACCATCGGTTGCTATCATCTCGCGGTCCCCAACCAGGTAGTCTACACCTACCAACATGACTTCATGGACTTGTGCCATGTTTTGGTTTGGCCGCCTCTAGCTTTCTTCCAACCTACTCCTATACCACTGAACATAGCACGTCGAGGTAGTCGGTGGTTGGGCATACGTAACACGTGTCCCAGCCATCTCAACTGATGAAGTTTCACCACTTCATCAATCGACTTGCCATCCTTACCTAGTACCCGTTTCCTAACAACTGCATTACTTACTCGATGGTCCCAGGATATACGAACAATGTTTCGAAGACACCTATGATCAAATACTAGTAACCTACGGATATTCTCTACTCTTACCGGCCATGTTTCACTGCCATAAAGTAGGACAGAACGAACTGCTGCGCAGTAAACACGTCCTTTGGTTGATAGACGGATATCTGGCCTACGTAATAAACGACGCAGGTTGGTAAAAGCTAGTCGAGCCTTCTGTATCTGTGCTGAGATTTCGTCACACACCAGACCACAAGGGCTGATGAGACTTCCAAGATAAGTGAAGCGGTCGGCACACTCAACTACTTCACTCCCTATCACTAGTTCGGGTGTCGATGTAACCCAATCCTGAAGCAACATTTTGCATTTCGAGGGAGAGAATCGCATCCCGAACATGCTTGCATTGTTGCTTAAAGTGGTCAGATGACTCTTCATTTTGTCAGCGTCTTCACCACTTGACTAAGGGTGATCTTTTAAAAAAAGGGCTTAGTTTCTGTTACGTCCTTTATCTGTCTACCCACTTTTGTGCAGAGAATAACTTGTGTAGTCTGGACTAAGACCTTGACGCGTTAGGTTGACTGGTTTAACCTTGAGGCTTGTATGCATTAGTTCGAAGTGGAACCAACTGCTTGTGATAAAGAGACTATTCTACCGCCTGATTGGCTGACAAGCATGCAAGTGAGAGAAGAAAAGTCAACTGGAACACCACTCGGTCTATTTCCAATTCCGATCTGGTTCCCGATTTCAGATTCGTGTACAAAGATACATAAATAAGCAGATGACTAACCTGACCACAACGCGCACACCAATTAAAAAAATACAATTATGTCCAAAACTCTTGATTAGCGTAGAAAATAAAGTACAGAATATTACGTTTAAATTAGAAAAGACTATGGCAATGAATCACATATCAAACGAAAGCTTATGATCTGTAGAATAGACTAGGGACAAAAACAAATGTCAGTGTTTTGTGTTGGCACCATGCGTGGTCTCCCCATTCTGATCCAATATTTTCGTTAGAGAATTGTTACATCAGACGCAGTGTCGATTTGCAATCTAAGCGGGTGCCCATTAATATTAGGGGGTGACAAATTTCCTCTCACCTGGGATTGATTTCTGACAGCTTGCTATTAGACTCAACGAATTCGTGTTGGATCTAGGCGTAGGTTTTCTGGTACCTCTGGAGCTGTTCGACTTCTTTTTTGGACAAAAACCATCCAGGCGGAGTTCAGTGTTTTACAAGCTTTGAATTAAATGAAAAAACTTCCTGAAAAATAACTTTCATATCTTGTCAAAGCTTCTTATTTCTCTGTTCACATCAGATTCCAGTTATACTTATTACTAATAGAATAATAATAAATCAATATTATACAATTCCAAAAAAGATACATTTATTGATTTATTTGAAATCAGTCAATAATCAATTAAATATATTCAATTAATCTATTCATTCAAATAATTAAATATTAAAAGATCTAATGAATACAATAGATAGTTTAATAGAAAAATTTTATTGGAACTCAATCTGTAAAACAATATGGAAAGAGAATACAGATCAATTGGATGAAATTATTGATTGGATCCATTCAGAAGCGGTTGTATTGAATGCAATTATACATAGTAATAATAATAATAATAATCTTAAAATACCATCATATGAGAAAGTGATGAAAGTAATTAATTTTCTTAAAGAAAATAATTTTTGGCGTTCTCATCCATATTCACTGATTATGATTAATAATAGAAATAATAATGATGATGATAAAACTATTGTTAAGCCAAATCATCAATTATATATGAAAAATATTAAAGATTTATGGGAAAATAATAAAAGAATTCAATAATGAATATGAAAAATAGTACAGTAATTAAATTGATATAATGAAAAAAACTATTGAGAATAGAAAGATGACCAAAATAATGTGTGTATATTACTTGCTTACTTATGCCTGTTACTCCTAATGGAGCATAGACCGCCGACTAGCATTCATCAACTCATTCTGTCCTGGGTCTTAAATGTGTATATTGATGATTAGATAATTAAATGTACTTTGTTTTTGTTTGGAATATTCCCATTTGATTTGTTATTTATGTAAATAATAATAATAATAGAACTTTTAAGTGTATTGAATCTTTCTTACATTGACTCAATATCTTTTCTTTAGATATGAGCTTCGATTATATAAATTTTAATTTAGTGAAAATTCCCATTTTGACACTTGGTGAATAATAAAGAAGGGATGAATCAAGCGAAGAGATTTCTTTTCAATTAGTTTTTCATCAGAATGGGTTTTGTGGAGATTTTTAGAAATTTCACTTGTTGAAATCATGAGTCAGTTGAAGCTAGACCACCATGGGAAACCTAGAATCACTGGACGTCCGTTTCGTCCTAGTATGGGACTCCTAAGCAGTGCGCATCCCCGCTCCTGTACCCCGTGATATTCGAACCCATGACCTATCAGTCTCGCGCCAGGCGCTTAATCGACCAGACCACTAAGCCAGCCGGCATTCAACGGTGTTAATATCTAACTTCAACCAATCCACGAAGTTGCGCCACCGTGCACCATTGTCTTCAGTGAGTTGATATCTCACAACAGACCTGGTTGATCGTGGATGCGCACTGCCGAGGAGTCCCATACTAGGATGAAACGGCCGTCCAGTGCTTCTAGGTTTTCCATAGTGATCTAGCTTCAATTGACTCATGATTTCAACAAGTAAAATTAGTTTTTCGTCATGAAAAGAAATTTTTTATCGTTCGATTCATTCCTTTTTTCATCAACTTCATATAGAATTTTGATAGAGGAGTTTTATTCTTTGAGCTGGATGATTTGATTGTGAGACGATAAAAACTCTATTGAAATTATCCATCTGAGTTATAAATCTTCTTCATCATCATCTTATATAGAATTCCATGAAATTAGAATAAAATCATGGATAGTGGGCATTTTTTTTCCTTTTATATTTTTTTCATGACTTCTACTCTATTTATTATAGTAGTAAGGTATGGTTTATTACAAGTAACTGCAATTGTAATGTGAGCTACTTATATTTACGTAAGTAGTGTATAATGATAATTAGGAATAGAATGTATGTCAGTAGACGATTGAGAAGGAAAGAATAGGAACGGAAAGCAATTGATATGAAAATGCAGGAACCATGAAATCTGAGACGATAGACTGATATTTGCAAAAGAAACAGTCAAGTTTGAGACAATGAATTGATATTTTGCAAATTAACTCTTTACTATATGGTTCTTAAATTTAAGTAAGATATTCTGTAGTGTTTTGTTGAATTAGATTCGATTGTCCCCACTGGTGTACTCGTTCACTACACTATTTCATGTCTATGTTTAAATAAATTTACGTCTTTTAACTGAAGTATATAACTTTTTTCATAAACTATCAAATGGATAAAATTATATAAAGAAGCTTAAACTGAGAGATTACAATTATATCTTTTTCGAATTTGTTATATTTGAAGCGATTACGAGTTCACCTAGTCTGCAGATAGAACAAAGACTCCGTGACTAAAGACCAATAAGCTAGCTATTCTGATTCGTCCCAGCCCCGCTAACTAGAAAGAAAAGTCCACGTTCGAAACAGGGAAATATATTCCGCAAGCAACCTGAAGCACGAGGAAACATGATATGCACAAGTCAAACGTATATATACAGCATAAAATTGTCCTTGGGAAGCGTTACAAACTAGCATTTAAGTACCTCTCAAGTGGGAAATACGATAGGAGGGTGAAAATGAACGCTTTTGGTGCGAAAACAAGAAAATTCACAATTTTAAAATAAAATTACAAAAATAAGGTATTTACCAAGTGAGTTCTGGGGATCTAACATCTTCAACAAAATTAGTTGTCGTTATTGGGAATAAACTTTACACAAAAGTATAATTAATTAATTAAACAGGATTAACAAATATTTCGTGGGCTGGTTGAAGTTAGAAATTAACACCGTTGGATGCTGGCTCAGTGGTCTAGTGGTTAAGTGCTCGCGCGCGAAGCCACTAGGTCCTGGGTTCGAATCTCGCAGGAAACGAGGTCGTGGATGCGCACTGCTGAGGAGTCTCACAATAGGATGGAACGGCCGTCCAGTGCTTCCAGGTTTTCCATGGTGATCTAGCTTCAACTGACTCATGATCTTAACCATCGAAACATTTGTTGATCTATTAAAAACATAAGCTTCGAAAAATCAGTTTATAAATCATTTTTAATAGTGTTAACCGAATAGCAGTTCAAAAGTTGTCAAACTACTCAAATTTACAATGACTGTTATACATATAGAAATCTTTATTCTATAAAGTATTGTTTATTCTGATTCAGTTGGTTAAAAAAGATTATCTTAAGCATCGTTTGAAATGAGTTTTTAAAAGTCAATTTTTCCGCGAAAATAACGAAATCGAATTACTATTATTATCATTATTATTTGGTTAAAACAAAATCATAAAACAGTAGTTATTAAAGTGGAATATCCCGTAAATTATTGAGGTCTACGATTTTTTGTTAAAAAAAAGATTATTATATTTTATTGAATAGAATTAATTCAAAATAAAATATCAGGTGATCATTTGTCCTTATTTAATTTAATTTCCTTTACCTAGCTAACTACTTGATATAGTTACAACTATCATCGTTGATATTAATAAATATTCTTAAGTTTCATGAAATAGTTCATTCCTTGACATGATCACGATCGATTGTTTGTTAATTAATTAATATTTAAATAATATGTGATTTCTGACTTGTCAAACTGTTGGGAAACATTTAATTTTAGAACTTAATGTTATATTAAAATGTAATTATTGTGTGTAGACCACGTTTCAAGTTCAAGTTAGGCATAATGAATAATGGTTTATTGGTGAAACTATCAAGTTTCATTAGAATGAACTAAAATGAAATTACTAACTGTTATATCCGAGCGAAGATTAAATCATGAGTAACTTCTGAGACATATTAATTGACTAATATTATCTATACATTCTTATGGTATAACTATTCAATAATTAGATTATGTGTATTTATATTCCTCTTATTATTTTGACCTATAATTTATTATCGTACGATTCACTGTTCTTAAGCTAGGTTCAGTTTATTGACTACTGCCTCCCACGTTCATAGCCACTTTTTGGCTTTATTGTGTACAGTGTTATTTCCTATTTTATGGTGCGTTGCGATCTGTTTGTTTGATATATAAGCCCAGTGTGTGTGAAATAAATGATTCGATTCGCATCGCGGAAGCTGATATTGGTGTTCTGGACTCAAGTGGATGGGCTAGGCGGACATAGGACCAATAAGGACGCTAGGTTGTCCATACCGGTCAAATGTCATTAGTTTGGCACAGTGCCAAGATTGTATAAGTCGTATTTTGATTGGTGGATAAGTCACGTGATAAAAAGCCGGACATAAAGTCATAACACTAATGTTGATTCCAGCTAACAAATTTCCGATTAACAGACTTCGTTTCAGTCTCTCCATAACGGTTCTAGTTCCCAAAATGTCTATTAACCGCCTTGATTCTATCGGAAATAATTATCACTATATTATGTTAGGAATATTCCTGCTGATTCTCAAGTAATTATGTATCTTTTATTCTAACTGGGTGTTTTATACCAGTACAGAACTGGAGTTGCAAAATGTTAGCGGATATAACATGAAAAGATAAGGAAACAGTAAATTTACTTCGGACTTCATGTTGTTACATTTTGTCCGGTTAAATGTCACATGATTTACTTGCTAATCAGAATACGGCTTATACGGTGTTAGCTCTGTGCCAAACCAACGACGTATTGACCGGTATGAGCAGCCTAGCGTCCTTATTGTTCCTTTTTCCTACCTGGCCCTGTCTCTTGAGTCCGGGACACCATTATCAGCTCCCACTATGCGAACCATTTATTTCAAACATACCTAGTTTATATACAAGCCAACTAGGCAACATCATACCATAAAATCGAAAATAACATTTGTACAGTATCAAGCTGAAAAGTGGCTGTGATTGTTGGAGACTAACCAATAAACTGAGCATAACTTAAAAATAGTAAATCGTATAATAGTAGTCTATAGGTCAAAATAAAGCTTATGATAAAAGGAATATGAATATACATAATCTAGTTATTGATTAAATTCACTTCGTATTGTTTATTTGAATCTTCTCATTATTTCATACACATAATTCCCTTTATTATTGTTGTAACGTGTGGTTGCACGGTTAGATGCGCAGCGTTTTACTGACCGATTCGGTGACACGGAAAACACGTACGAACAACCTAGGGTTCTGATTGGTCCCGCTTCCCTGTCTAGCCCAGCCAGTTGAGTCCAGAACACAAGTCACAGCCTTTGAGAAATGAATCATTATATTTCAGACATACTCTATTTATATACCAACCAAACAGACCACATCGTACCATAAAAATAGAAAACAACATCTGTACAATATTTAACGAGTGAAATAAATAATGGCCAATACGGAATGTCCATTTAAAGTCCAAGGACATCATTAGACTTAACATGATAATGATTGGTATATTCCTCTGCATCCCTAACAGTTATCTTAAAGAGAGCAAGAACAAAGATTGGTACAGAATAATATGAATTCATTTTATTTCGTTAGGTTCTCATCAGCTGCTTACAATCTAAATTATTTGAAATTCAAAATTATTACAGATATTGACCTACTTATACATAAGAGGGTGATTAAGGATGAATAAATGTATCATGGTGTAGCAAAGATTCCGATAGGGTTAATGAGATCATAAAATTTTGTCTCGAATAAATAAAGTTTGAGAGGGAAAGTTTCGAAACATTGAAATAGTGATTAGAACTCATGAAAATAGATTATTGGTAATAAAGAAAATATGAATTGTAATCAGTCAGTTATGTATGATGTAATTTAAAAGAGTTGGAGTAATGACGCAATAAATGAATAGAGAAATAAATGAATAAAAAAGGGGGTTTTGTTACCAGGGTAAAGATAGATTTATTACTGTCTCTTTTTGTATACATAAATCTGGTTTTAGACGTTTGATTGCTATTGCTTCGGCAAATTTCAAGAGGTTGGAGTTTGATTATTTATTAATCACCTTGAAGGACTTCAAT